TGTAAGTTTCTTTAGTAAAGTAGTGAAGTAAAAGGAAAAGTAGTCAAAAATATAAATAAAGTACTGATACCACAAAAAATACTTAATTAATACTTTTAATTAGTACTTAATTAGTATTTTTAGTGAAGTACTTTACACCACTGCGCACACACACACACACACTGGTGGGTTAGGGCCTCTGCAGCTCCCCATGGGTGAGAGTGGTGTGGTTTGTTCCCATATCACAGGGCTGTCATTGACTATTTATTTTAGTCCCCCACAATCCAACTTTTCATGCTGCGCGCTGGGGGGTGGGGAATCAAAGATTCCTTTCATTTCGGCAGCACTCAGTGGCCTCAGATCACGCTTTTCCCATCCCGCCGCAGCTCTCGCCCTGTGCGCCCCTGCGCGGTGTCAGCGTTGGGGCAGGGATGCGCTCCGTCACCGCGGTAAATTGTACGCTTTGTATTTCACTGACAGAGGGAGAAATAGCAGTCATTTCCGTCTGATAGCCCGGGGGTTATTGCATCCCTCATTTACTCTCTCTCTCTCTCGGATCTACCAGAATATGAGACTGAGGTACTGTTTACACAGCAAGCACAAACAGCGTCACATAGTTGATGCATGAAGGCAATGAGCTAGATTCCATCCCAGCTTGTTGAACTTATATTGACCTAAATGTCCTGATATTAAACATTTATTATTATAGTTTTTTCTTCTTCTATCATTTCATCCACATAGCTTGCTGTGTCATCCTATGACACTTTTCCTATATGGCACTCCCAGAGGATTGAACATTTTGTCCCGCACCATCCTCGTATTGTTTTTCCATTTGATCAATTAAAGCTCAAATCAATTCAGCGTCATCACACACAGTTTTACATAGAAGTTGAATTCAGTGGTATGGATGAAATAATCCATTCATTACCTTTACATTGACATTTTAGTCATTTAGCAGACGCTCTTATCCAGAGCGACTTACAGTTAGTGAGTGAATACATTTTCATACTTTTTCATTGATATATTCGCCACTAAAGCGATTATAAGAAATGCGTAAAGTCCACACTGCCCCAGCCCCTGTCCCTCATGCTACATGTCTCCCCTCCTCACCTCCACTTGGAGATCCACCTGGCGCTGCGTCGGGTCCATCCACCGGTCGGTGTGCAGGTCCCCTGTTGCTTTAAGCAGTGTTTTTTCGACCAACAGGAGGCGTGTCTTCCCCACGGCCGGAGCGGAGCGCAGCGAGACGCGAGTCTGAAGGAACCGATCTGGCTCGTCTCTCTATCGAAACAAATCAACTACTTTCTCAGCTCATTCTAATCGAAGGTAAGCGTCGCATCCTTTTTCATAATTTTTGATTGTCTGTCCGTTATTTGTGTAATTTAACAGCTTGTACTCCCCTCTGCTTGGGCGTGTAAGGTTTGAATGCCTAGTCTGTTGGATTTTACAGGTGAGACAGAAGTGAGAGAATAAGGCTATCCACCTCGTCTCTATCATCGAAGAATCATTATACATCACACTAAACCTCCCGATTTACACAGGTTCATTTACCCTAGCCTACTTGAAGTTGAATGGTGCATTTATATTTTGGGGATGCGGTGCGTCATGTCACAATGTGCGCTCTGCGCACCTCTGCCAGTAGAAATAATTTAAATATCTTAAAAGGTTACGACTTGTTAGTTAATAGGCCTAAACCGTGTAGATACGTGACCTCTTGTATGTCTTCTCTCGACTCCTATTTAAAATCGTGTCCCCTCTCGAGTCCCTCCTCTCGTAACCTGCATACAATGTTGTGGGGTTGAAAATACATTATGGGGTTATTAAATATATACCGTACAAATCGTGGCTGTCAATGGCGTTGAAGTGATCCGCTTTATGAATGTTCCATAGATAAAGTGTAATCAGGCTGGGTGGAAAGGAACCGACTGGCTGCGCATGTAAATTCCACAGATGATGAGCACATAACCCGCGCGCACTACAGCCCTAAATCAAGTTTATGATCAGATGGTAGATGGTTATTGCACAGTGCCATTAAAACAGCACCGATGATGCCCAAAGTGCTATTTGGAGAGCTCTTACAAAGTAACCAGAAAAGGCAGGTCGTTAAACTGGGATATGAAATGAATCTCTGCAGAAATAGTTTGAGTTTACAACTGGCATCCGTGCCAACTGATTGTGCGCGAGTAACCCGCCAACTCCCTGCTCCTCCTTCTATTCGCTCATTGCACGCGACTGTGTATAACGTTTTAAAGCATTTGACTTAGCCTACAAAAGTTACAGTATGTCATTGACAATGCTTTCATTTAGTAATGGCCACAGAAAAATAGACAAAACATTTCAGTGTAATTGTATTTATCTTCATGGATCCCATGCGTAATTTCCTCATCCTCGGTCAGCTGAATGGTATTCTCAGACCAGATGGAAATATATATATATTGGAACGGGTTAGTTTAAAGATAAACGAGGCATATATTATTTCCTTATAAACAAGTAAACAGTTAAAAGTCACTGCATTTATCCTAAAAAATACCTCAGAAGCATTTGTCGGTTAGTTACATTTAAATCAACGGGTCATCCCGGCACATTTCTTATTGAGGAAGAGTGAAAAACCACTTTCTTACCCATATTTGGACATGGAACGGCACTCGGGGTTTAAGCCAACATTTAAATGCCTAGCTAAATGTGTAAGTTACACAAGGAATTAAACGAGACATCGTATGGCTTTACATAAGAGAAGGAATCCGACCACACCAGTCTTTGGAAAGACAGATTATGCGGTCGGTTTGTCAAACAGAGAATGAAAGGGCGTAGGCCTACTTGGAGTTATAAAGTAGGCGTTTTTCTTACTTTTAGTCAAGCTGATTGAGGCAATTTGCATGACTCCGAAATATTATTGACGCCGTTGGAGGCTACACCGTCGAAAATCCTCCTGGGGTCTCGTGCATCAGTCTCAAACACGGACTGCAATAAAAGTGCATCACAGCCCCTCGTATATTTCCCGGGCTTGAAACGCAGACGCAAGCAGCTCTCCTGTTCGGAAATACTTGTCGAATGCTATCGGAAGCTGACGACAGAGGCTATATGCAACTCTGAATATCCAAAGTGAAAAAAGAAAGACAAAGAAACGTTTCATTTTCTGTAAAGTTAGGTCTAATTCGAGTAGTGTTCGAGGGTCACTGCGTCGCTGTCCATGGTGCTGAAATCCACGCTGCACAAGCCTACAGATACGGCCAATAAAGGTGAATACAACTACACCTGGCGTGGGTTTAGTCAAAAGGAACACAAATATATTGCATCTGTAGACTTAATGACACAAATAATATGCTAATGATTAATATCTATATAATTAATACCTATATATGAATGTAACAGTAGTATGCATTTAGAGAGAAAAATAACATCCAAGTTTAACTTATCTTTAATAACTGTAGCCCGTACTTTTGGACGGTGTGTAGAATAGGCTAGTCCTGTCCGTTTCCAACGTCATGTTGTACCCTGTATGGTCCTGGGGTTTAGATATGTATGACAAATACCATGTTAAAGTTGTTTTAGGCCTTCTCTATATCTTAACGACTCGAGACAATATAATTTATACTTGTCATCTTTAATCATATTACTAGACTTAGGCCTATGAAACAGAACACAGATTCTTGATGTTTGAAGTTAATTGAATGACAAAAATCATGGCATTCTAACTGTATAACTTCACAAATAATTTAACAACCAGACTACTTTGATATTGGCTGTATAACGTTTGAATTACATGAGCTGAGAATAAACTTATTTCACAACTTTGAATATAATTTTTTTTATGACAATTCTACAACGCTATAATCCTCAGCCCATGTTACTGACAATTGATGACCAAAATGGAATCCCTTATTATTCTATTTCTACATTGTCATAAAGTCTAACAGTACACTCCTAGAAAAAAGGTTGTGGATAGAACCAAAAAGGGTTATATTGCACCCCTAAAGGTTCTATTTAGAACCATTTTATAGGGTTATATGATCAGAACCCCAGGGGTTCTTCTTCACTGAACCAAAATGTCGGTTCTATATAGAACCTTTAGGGGTGCCATATATGAAGCAAGCATAGAACCCTTTTTGGTTCTATCCAGAACCTTTTTTTCTAAGAGTGTATAATGTCAAAAATAGCAAAAATAGAAAATCGAAAAGCAAATCTTTCTCAGTGACAACATAGCTCTGTGAAAAAATTATTAGCTCAGCAATAGGTTATTCATCAAAATTGGACTTGTGACAGTTTTGGTTCACAAACCTCTCACACGACTCCAAGGCTGAGCAATTCCGATCTAGAGAGGCAATCTTTTTAAAATCATAGATTGTTTTTATAGCCGCTCGGCATGGCACCAGTCCAATGGCAACAGCCAGGGCCATTGAATGAATCGAGCAAAACCGTGAATAGCATAGAGAGAGTACCTGGTGCCAGCACGAGACACCCGGGGAAAGATGTCAATTTCGGTGTCAGATATGGATCGGATGTGTGGTCAGCAGCACCTGCGAAATATACCCAAAATTTCCTCTCTCGCGCTCACACTAATATTGGCTCGACGTCAGATGCTGTGCGGCAGTGCAGCAGAATTCTAGCTTCAGACAGCTGAGACTGCCTGGAAGGTTTAGGCTCCCTAGCCTGCTGCAATTCTGCCAGCACACCAGCGTTCGTCTCTTGAGACGGAATTCTGACTTGGAAACTCAACCACCCCTTCTTCCTCTTTTCATGTCCATCTCTCTTTCAGACCGCCCCGTGAATGGATTTCTCCCGGATTTGCCCAGACTAACATGGATGCCCCACCGTTAGCTGAGTCGGAAGGTTGTTTCTTGGCGCAGTGAGCTGGACACGCAGCGCTTGCTAATGGATCTGGGGAAACAAATGATACCTTCTCCCTGACTGACCATGCCGTGATCTTGCGCGTGGGCCGTCACCCTGCTTAACTTCAAAATAAACATTTCGGGGGAATCTGCCGATCCAGGGAATAAATACTGTGGCATCACACAGACACCATGAAGATTACCTCCCCGCTCATAAGTAAAGCGAGATTCAGGTGCACCGTCAGGCTTCCTACTGCTGCTATTACTATGTGTGGGATATTCTCGCGGGATGCCACACGTTTTAAGATTTGGTAAGATTCTTATTTTCTTTCTCTGTTAAACATTCTTAATGTCTTGGTGTAGTAGCCTAGCTATTCCCTAACTCTGTAACTGTTGCCATGGCATGGCTGGGCGCCATAGTTGTCTTGTATACTTCCTAGTAGACGTGTTGCGGTGACCCCACGGGTCCTCTTGTTCCAGACTTTTTGGAGTGAGCGGGTGCGCCCCGGAGCCACATCCCCCGCAAAGACTGCTACCCCTATGCACGGTGTTGTTTACCACAGCTGTCTAGCGACATTACCTTATCTCTTTTGTCCTCGAAACCTTTATGTATGACATCATTAGCATAATTATCCTACAGCAGACTACTTGTGAAAATGTTCAGCGACAGTACAGCTGGAGTCCATATAGAAACATATATAGCCTACAATTATCTTCGCATAACTGGATTTGATCATCATTTGTGGACCTTGTTTCAAATTGTTACAAATAGCAGTGTCCGATTATGTCTTCATGCCAAAGTGCCAGGTTGTTGGTGAATCATTTATGTTGGAGAATAAATTATTGGTGGAACTTGTTGCCATGGTGCTGATATTTCTAAGTTTGCATAATAAACCTAGTGTGTGTGAGTGTGTGTGTGTGTGTGTGTGTGTGTGTGTATGAGAGCGAGAGAGAGGAGAGAGAGAGAGAGAGAGAGAGCGAGAGAGAGCATGCAGTCAGAAAGCTTGGAACAGTTGGCAACAATGTGGCGCCTATGTTGATCATTACCCCACAGTAATGTTAGTTACATAGATATTTGGATCATATAGGCCTATTCATGGCCGACGTCAACACAAGACCCATTTCTTGTTATAGACACAATCAAAAAAAGGATGAATCCTGATTGAAGAAATGCGCGCGAAACTCAGGTTTAGCGCCAAATCCCCCATCCATTGAAATTTATATTTACGCGTCCATTTCTCGAAGTATGATTTGGCCGATTATGAACAGAAAGAACCCTAACGAACCAAGCCATGTAGTGAAGTGCAGTCAATGTCTACGCAACCATTGAACACAGCGATCCATGATAGTGACAGCCAGCAGCGTGAAGCAAAATATACATGCTAGTGTTTGATCTTCCCTTTCATTGTTCGCTCTGAGTCCTGGCACGTTGCTATTAGCAACCATTTAAAGGAATGCATTGTTCTAACTGAGCACATCTTCCATTGTCGACTCCAAGGCAAGACTCTGCATAGGCCTATGGAGAAAACATAGGGTAGGCCATCAGTGTATCGTGTTGCACATGCATATAGGCTACCTTCTGCACTTGCATAGCCCTCAGAGGCAAGGCCGTCACTGCCAGTGTTCTAAAGAACGCACGTGTAAAAGGGTAGGCAATGTGATCAACAGTTTTCAGGGGGCACTGTAACTGTACATATACAATTATCTGCATCCTCTCACTGCTTCACGGTCGTTCGTGTAATTTCTGTCATTTGCTTTGTCTCTCTAAGGAATTTCACATCACACTGTATACACCCATCCACTGCAACTGTAGCCTGTCAGTTTTTCAGAAAACACACACAAACACACTCACACACAAACGCGCTCGCGCACCGTAGACCCTGATTGAAATGCACATAGCATCTGTACGAGCTGCCACTATGGCAACAAGCTGGGCCTGTGCTGCTACCAGGCGTTAATCTGACAGCGCTGTCTCACTAACAGTAGGACGGGGAGAGTTGTCGGGAAGTATTGTCCTCCATATCGGTCTATGCTTCAACCACACTCTCCCCACTTCCCCCTGGTAATCCATCTCTGTGTGTGCCCCCGGATAATCTTTGTGTCTGAAGATACACTTTCTATACACTCACACTTGTGTTCACAAAGTCATAATCTCCAAACTACCCCTTACATGCCTCGCTAGGACTCTGAATTGCAGGCACAGAGGGCAAGTTTCAGCACCACTGACAGCGGAAAGCGCCTCCTCACGTCGGTGTATGAGCACTACTTTATTCTACTACAGAAGAAACACACGATTAGTGGAAGGCTTGTTAAAGGAGCAGCTTTCTCTTGGCTGCAGTTGTGAAACAGTCTCCCTGCTCTGCTTAAGGATGGTGTTATCCTGCTTTACAAGTAGTTAGGGTTATAGGACAGGGTTATCCTTTTTGAGGACACAATGCAACGTAGTAAGTATACAGCTAACATCAGTGGAGGCTGCTGAGGGGAGGACGGCTCATAATAATGGCTGGAATGGAGTTAATGGAATGGTATCAAACACATCAAAGACATGTTAGACCATTTTGGAAGAATAGTAACATTCAATGTTTACATTAATAATACTAATTACAGTGGGGGGAAAAAGTATTTAGTCAGCCACCAATTGTGCAAGTTCTCCCACTTAAAAAGATGAGAGAGGCCTGTAATTTTCATCATAGGTACACGTCAACTATGACAGACAAATTGAGAGAAAAAATTTCCAGAAAATCACATTGTAGGATTTTTAATGACTTTATTTGCAAATTATGGTGGAAAATAAGTATTTGGTCAACCTACAAACAAGCAAGATTTCTGGCTCTCACAGACCTGTAACTTCTTCTTTAAGAGGCTCCTCTGTCCTCCACTCGTTACCTGTATTAATGGCACCTGTTTGAACTTGTTATCAGTATAAAAGACACCTGTCCACAACCTCAAACAGTCACACTCCAAACTCCACTATGGCCAAGACCAAAGAGCTGTCAAAGGGCACCAGAAACAAAATTGTAGACCTGCACCAGGCTGGGAAGACTGAATCTGCAATAGGTAAGCAGCTTGGTTTGAAGAAATCAACTGTGGGAGCAATTATTAGGAAATGGAAGACATACTGATAATCTCCCTCGATCTGGGGCTCCACACAAGATCTCACCCAGTGGGGTCAAAATGATCACAAGAACGGTGAGCAAAAATCCCAGAACCACACGGGGGGACCTAGTGAATGACCTGCAGAGAGCTGGGACCAAAGTAACAAAGCCTACCATCAGTAACACACTACGCCGCCAGGGACTCAAATCCTGCAGTGCCAGACGTGTCCCCCTGCTTAAGCCAGTACATGTCCAGGCCCGTCTGAAGTTTGCTAGAGTGCATTTGGATGATCCAGAAGAGGATTGGGAGAATGTCATATGGTCAGATGAAACCAAAATATAACTTTTTGGTAAAAACTCAACTCGTCGTGTTTGGAGGACAAAGAATGCTGAGTTGCATCCAAAGAACACCATACCTACTGTGAAGCTTGGGGGTGGAAACATCATGCTTTGGGGCTGTTTTTCTGCAAAGGGACCAGGACGACTGATCCGTGTAAAGGAAAGAATGAATGGGGCCATGTATCGTGAGATTTTGAGTGAAAACCTCCTTCCATCAGCAAGGGCATTGAAGATTAAACGTGGCTGGGTCTTTCAGCATGACAATGATCCCAAACACACCGCCCGGGCAACGAAGGAGTGGCTTCGTAAGAAGCATTTCAAGGTCCTGGAGTGGCCTAGCCAGTCTCCAGATCTCAACCCCATAGAAAATCTTTGGAGGGAGTTGAAAGTCTGTGTTGCCCAGCGACAGCCCCAAAACATCACTGCTCTAGAGGAGATCTGCATGGAGGAATGGGCCAAGATACCAGCAACAGTGTGTGAAAACCTTGTGAAGACTTACAGAAAACGTTTGACCTGTGTCATTGCCAACAAAGGGTATATAACAAAGTATTGAGAAACTTTTGTTATTGACCAAATACTTATTTTCCACCATAATTTGCGAATAAATTCATTACAAATCCTGCAATGTGATTTTCTGGATTTTTTTTCTCATTTTGTCTGTCATAGTTGACGTGTACCTATGATGAAAATTACAGGCCTCTCTCATCTTTTTAAGTGGGAGAACTTGCACAATTGGTGGCTGACTAAATACTTGTTTTCCCCACTGTATGTGCTTCTATTATACTGTTATATATATATATATATATATATATATATATATATATATATATATATATATATACACACACACTACCGTTCAAAAATTAGGGGTCACTTAGACATTTCCTTGTTTTCGAAAGAAAAGCAATTTCTTTGTCCATTAAAATAACATCAAATTGATCAGAAATACAGTGTAGACATTGTTAATGTTGTGAATGGCTATTGTAGCTGGATACAGCTGATTTTTTATGGAATATCTACATAGGCGTACAAAGGCCCATTATCAGCAACCATCAGTCCTGTGTTCCAATGGCACGTTGTGTTTGCTAATCCAAGTTTATCATTTTAAAAGGCTAATTGATCATTATCAAACCCTTCTGCAATTATGTTAACACAGCTGAAAACTGTTGTGCTGATTAAAGAAGCAATAAAACTGGCCTTCTTGAGATTAGTTGAGTATCTGGAGCATCAGCAATTGTGGGTACGATTACAGGCTCAAAATGGCCAGAAACAAAGAACTGATGGTTGCCGATAATAGGCCTCTGTACGCCTATGTAGATATTCCATAAAAAATCAGCAGTTTCCAGCTACAATAGCCATTTACAATATTAACAATGTCTACACTGTATTTCTGATCAATTTTATGTTATTTTAATGGACAAAAAAATTGCTTTTCTTTCGGAAACAAGAACATTTCTAAGTGACCCCAAACTTTTGAACGGTAGTGTATATATATATATATATATATAGTAAACCCCCTTGGTTTTGTTCCCCAAAAGTCAAAAAATTTTTCCCCCAAACTACCCCTTACATGCCTCGTAGGACGCTAAATTGCAGGCAAGAGGGCAAGTTTCAGCACCACTGACAGCGGAAAGCGCCTCCTCACGTCGGTGTATGAGCACTACTTTATTCTACTACTGAAGAAACACACACGATTAGTGGAAGGCTTGTTAAAGGAGCAGCTTTCTCTTGGCTGCAGTGTGAAACAGTCTCCCTGCTCTGCTTAAGGATGGTGTTATCCTGCTTTACAAGTAGTTAGGGTTATAGGACAGGGTTATCCTTTTGAGGACACATGCAACGTAGTAAGTATACAGCTAACATCAGTGGAGGCTGCTGAGGGGAGGACGGCTCATAATAATGGCTGGAATGGAATTAATGGAATGGTATCAACACATCAAAGACATGTTAGACCATTTTGGAAGAATAGTAACATTCAATGTTTACATTAATAATACTAATTACAGTGGGGAAAAAAAGTATTTAGTCAGCCACCAATTGTGCAAGTTCTCCCACTTAAAAAGATGAGAGAGGCCTTAATTTTCATCATAGGTACACGTCAACTATGACAGACAAATTGAGAAAAAAAATTCCAGAAAATCACATTGTAGGATTTTTTAATGAATTTATTTGCAAATTATGGTGGAAAATAAGTATTTGGTCACCTACAAACAAGCAAGATTTCTGGCTCTCACAGACCTGTAACTTCTTCTTTAAGAGGCTCCTCTGTTCTCCACTCGTTACCTGTATTAATGGCACCTGTTTGAACTTGTTATCAGTATAAAAGACACCTGTCCACAACCTCAAACAGTCACACTCCAAACTCCACTATGGCCAAGACCAAAGAGCTGTCAAAGGACACCAGAAACAAAATTGTAGACCTGCACCAGGCTGGGAAGACTGAATCTGCAATAGGTAAGCAGCTTGGTTTGAAGAAATCAACTGTGGGAGCAATTATTAGGAAATGGAAGACATACAAGACCACTGATAATCTCCCTCGATCTGGGGCTCCACGCAAGATCTCACCCCGTGGGGTCAAAATGATCACAAGAACGGTGAGCAAAAATCCCAGAACCACACGGGGGGACCTAGTGAATGACCTGCAGAGAGCTGGGACCAAAGTAACAAAGCCTACCATCAGTAACACACTACGCCGCCAGGGACTCAAATCCTGCAGTGCCAGACGTGTCCCCCTGCTTAAGCCAGTACATGTCCAGGCCCGTCTGAAGTTTGCTAGAGTGCATTTGGATGATCCAGAAGAGGATTGGGAGAATGTCATATGGTCAGATGAAACCAAAATATAACTTTTTGGTAAAAACTCAACTCGTCGTGTTTGGAGGACAAAGAATGCTGAGTTGCATCCAAAGAACACCATACCTACTGTGAAGCATGGGGGTGGAAACATCATGCTTTGGGGCTGTTTTTCTGCAAAGGGACCAGGACGACTGATCCGTGTAAAGGAAAGAATGAATGGGGCCATGTATCGTGAGATTTTGAGTGAAAACCTCCTTCCATCAGCAAGGGCATTGAAGATGAAACGTGGCTGGGTCTTTCAGCATGACAATGATCCCAAACACACCGCCCGGGCAACGAAGGAGTGGCTTTGTAAGAAGCATTCAAGGTCCTGGAGTGGCCTAGCCAGTCTCCCAGATCTCAACCCCATAGAAAATCTTTGGAGGGAGTTGAAAGTCCGTGTTGCCCAGCGACAGCCCCAAAACATCACTGCTCTAGAGGAGATCTGCATGGAGGAATGGGCCAAGATACCAGCAACAGTGTGTGAAAACCTTGTGAAGACTTACAGAAAACGTTTGACCTGTGTCATTGCCAACAAAGTGTATATAACAAAGTATTGAGAAACTTTTGTTATTGACCAAATACTTATTTTCCACCATAATTTGCAAATAAATTCATTACAAATCCTACAATGTGATTTTCTGGATTTTTTTCTCATTTTGTCTGTCATAGTTGACGTGTACCTATGATGAAAATTACAGGCCTCTCTCATCTTTTTAAGTGGGAGAAAATTGCACAATTGGTGGCTGACTAAATACTTGTTTTCTCCACTGTATGTGCTTCTATTATACTGTTATATATATATATATATATATATATATATATATATATATATATATAATATATATATATACACACACACACTACCGATCAAAAGTTAGGGGTCACTTAGACATTTCCTTGTTTTCGAAAGAAAAGCAATTTTTTGTCCATTAAAATAACATCAAATTGATCAGAAATACAGTGTAGACATTGTTAATGTTGTGAATGGCTATTGTAGCTGGATACAGCTGATTTTTATGGAATATCTACATAGGCGTACAAAGGCCCATTATCAGCAACCAATCCTGTGTTCCAATGGCACGTTGTTTTGCTAATCGAAGTTTATCATTTTAAAAGGCTAATTGATCATTATCAAACCCTTCTGCAATTATGTTATCACAGCTGAAAACTGTTGTGCTGATTAAAGAAGCAATAAAACTGGCCTTCTTGAGATTAGTTGAGTATCTGGAGCATCAGCAATTGTGGGTACGATTACAGGCTCAAAATGGCCAGGAACAAAGAACTGATGGTTGCTGCTAATGGGCCTCTGTACGCCTATGTAGATATTCCATAAAAAATCAGCCGTTTCCAGCTACAATAGCCATTTACAATATTAACAATGTCTACACTGTATTTCTGATAAATTTTATGTTATTTTAATGGACAAAAAAATTGCTTTTCTTTCGAAAACAAGGACATTTCTAAGTGACCCCAAACTTTTGAATGGTAGTGTATATATATATATATATATATATATATATATATATATATATGTATAATTTTAATGGTAGGTTTATTTGAACAGTGAGAGACAGAATAACTACAAAAAAATCCAGAAAAACGCATGTCAATAATGTTATAAATTGATTTGCATTTTAATGAGGGAAATAAGTATTTGACCCCTCTGCAAAACATGACTTGGTACTTGGTGGCAAAACCCTTGTTGGCAATCACAGAGGTCAGACGTTTCTTGTAGTTGGCCACCAGGTTTGCACACATCTCAGGAGCGATTTTGTCCCACTCCTCATTGCAGCTCCAAGTCATTAAGTTTTCGAGGCTGACATTTGGCAACTCGAACCTTCAGCTCCCTCCACAGATTTTCTATGGGATTAAGGTCTGGAGACTGGCTAGGCCACTCCAGGACCTTAATGTGCTTCTTCTTGAGCCACTCCTTTGTTGCCTTGGCCTTGTGTTTTGGGTCATTGTCATGCTGGAATACCATCCACGACCCATTTTCAATGCCCTGGCTGAGAGAAGGAGGTTCTCACCCAAGATTTGACGGTACATGGCCCCGTCCATCATCCCTTTGATGTGGTGAAGTTGTCCTGTCCCCTTAGCAGAAAAACACCCCCAAAGCATAATGTTTCCACCTCCATGTTTGACGGTGGGGATGGTGTTCTTGGGGTCATAGGCAGCATTCCTCCTCCTCCAAACATGGCAAGTTTAGTTGATGCCAAAGAGCTCGATTTTGGTCTCATCTGACCACAACACTTTCACCCAGTTCTCCTCTGAATCATTCAGATGTTCATTGGCAAACTTCAGACGGGCCTGTATATGTGCTTTCTTGAGCAGGGGGACCTTGCGGGTGCTGCAGGATTTCAGTCCTTCACGGCGTAGTGTGTTACCAATTGTTTTCTTGGTGACTATGGTCCCAGCTGCCTTGAGATCATTGACAATATCCTCCCGTGTAGTTCTGGGCTGATTCCTCACCGTTCTCATGATTATTGCAACTCCACGAGGTGAGATCTTGCATGGAGCCCCATGCCGAGGGAGATTGACAGGTCTTTTGTGTTTCTTCCATTTGCGAATAATCGCACCAACTGTTGTCACCTTCTCACCAAGCTGCTTGGCGATGGTCTTGTAGCCCATTCCAGCCTTGTGCAGGTCTACAATCTTGTCCCTGACATCCTTGGAGAGCTCTTTGGTCTTGGCCATGGTGGGGAGTTTGGAATTTGATTGATTGATTGCTTCTGTGGACAGGTGTCTTTTATACAGGTAACAAGCTGAGATTAGGAGCACTCCCTTTAAGAGTGTGCTCCTAATCTCAGCTCGTTACCTGTATAAAAGACACCTGGGAGCCAGAAATCTTTCTGATTGAGAGGGGGTCAAATACTTATTTCCCTCATTAAAATGCAAATCAATTTATAACATTTTTGACATGCGTTTTTCTGAATTTTGTTGTTGTTATTCTGTCTCACTGTTCAAATAAACCTACCATTAAAATTATAGACTGATCATTTATTTGTCAGTGGGCAAACGTACAAAATCAGCAGGGGATCAAATACTTTTTTCCCTCACTGTATATATATATATATATATATATATATATATATATATATATATATATATATATATATATATATATATATATATACACTACCGTTCAAAAGTTTGGATATATATATGCAGTACCAGCCCAAAGTTTGGACATACATACTCATTCAAGGGTTTTTCTTTATTCTTACTGTTTTCTACATTGTAGAATAACAGTGAAGACATCAAAACTATGAAATAACATACATGGAATAAAGTGTTCAACAAATCAAAATATATTTTATATTTGAGATTCTTCAAAGTAGCCACCCTTTGCCTTGATGACAGCTTTGCACACTCTTGGCATTCTCTCAGCCAGCTTAATGAGGTAGTCACCTGGAATGCATTTCAATTAACAGGTGTGCCTTGTTAAATGTTAATTTGTGGAATTCCTTTCCTTCTTAATGCATTTGAGCCAATCAGTTGGGTTGTGACAAGGTAGGGGTGGTATTCAGAAGATAGCCCTATTTGATAAAAGACCAAGTCCATATTATATCATGAACAGCTCAAATAAGCAAAAGAAATGACAGTCCATCATTATTTTAAGACACGAAGGTCAGTCAATACAGAACATTTCAAGAATTTTGAAAGTTTCTTCAAGTGCAGTTGCAAAAACCATTAAGCGCTATGATGAAACTGGCTCTCATGAAGACCACCACAGGAAAGGAAGACCCAGAGTTACCTCTGCTGCAGAGGGTAAGTTCATTAGAGTTAACTGCACCTCAGATTGCAGCCCAAATAAATGCTTCACAGAGTTCAAGTAACAGACACATGTCAACATCAACTGTTCAGAGGAGACTGCGTGAATCAGACCTTCATGGTCGAATTGCTGCAAAGAAACCACTACTAAAGGACACCAATAAGAATAAGAGACTTGCTTTGGCCAAGAAACACGAGCAATGGACATTAGACCAGTGGAAATATGTCCTTTGGTCGGATGAGTCCAAATTTGAGATTTTTGGTTCCAACCGCCGTGTCTTTGTGAGATGCAGAGTAGGTGAATGGATGATCTCCGCATGTGTGGTTCCCACCGTGAAGCATGGAGGAGGAGGAGTGATGGTGTGGTTGTGCTTTGCTGGTGACACTGTCTGTGATTTATTTAGAATTCAAGGCACACTTAACCAGCATGGCTACCACAGCATTCTGCAGCGATACGCCATCCCATCTGGTTTGCGCTTAGTGGGACTATCATTTGGACAATGACCCAAAACACACCTCCAGGCTGTGTAAGGGCTATTTGACCAAGAATGACAGTGATGGTGCTGCATCAGATGACCTGGCCTCCACAATCACCTGACCTCAACCCAAATGAGATGGTTTGGGATGTGTTGGACCGCAGAGTGAAGGAAAAGCAGCCAACAGGTGCTCAGCATATGTGGGAACTCCTTCAAGACTGTTGGAAAAGCATTCCTCATGAAGCTGGTTGAGAGAATGCCAAGAATCCCAAACCATGTTTCATAGTTTTGATGTCTTCACTATTATTCTACAAAGTAAAAATAAAGAAAAACCCTTGAATGAGTAGGTGTGTCCAAACTTTTGACTGGTAGTGTATATACATATATTATTGCACAACGATATTCAATACTATTATTAATCATAATGCTTTTTTTGTTCATTTTATTTTAATAAAATAATAAAATAATAATAATGTATTATTAATTGATAGGTAAAGCATTATTAACACAGCCAATCTTATATTGTACATTTAAAATATCACTACTTTTGTTTTGGCTACATGAATCACTAAGACTTGTTTTGCATTAGATAAGGAAATCCTTCAATATGTTTCAGCAGAATTAGCTAATTAAGGGATGTGGGCCATTGCTGTGCTTTATGATCAGTGTAGTCAGCAATCACCTTGTCAGAGCTTCTCAGTCTCTAGTGCAAGGACGAATTGGAAATCAGAGCGTGTGTGGGGTAGGGGATCCAGTGTACAACACTGGTACCATAGAAATAGAATCCATGGATTCTATTTTAATGACTGGTACAGTACAATACAGTAGCTGTTCTTCTGTAGAACACAGCTGGTGGGTGGAAGTGTCCTGTGTGTTGCGTCAGGTCATCACACTCCATCACTGTTCCTGGGATAAAGACTGGAGCCTGGTGGAGGTAGAGGTGTCGGCAGCTGGCAAGCAAGCAGGCAGGTAGGCATGCAGGCAGGCAGGCAGGCAGGCAGGCAGGCAGGGCCCACCCCTTCAACTTTCAGCTCAGGGATGTAGTGTGGACATAGAGTTAATCAAGAATGACAGTCTGATTGTTTTTTTTATCTCCCAAAAGACATCATGTCAGTATCCACTCCTAGAATGGCTGTCTATATGTTGCCTGAACTGTTAAGTGTCTGTCTATATGTTGCCTGTATACTGTTATGTAAACAGATGCACTTTGCACAGACCTCCTGGAGGCTTGATTGATTTAGAATAGGAGGATATGTATCCCTCATCTGTTACAGTCAGCCTCTACAGTGTGCTCATCAATAGGGTATAACCTCTGTAAGCTCTGATAAACTGAGCGATGGTAAGGTAAGGTCAGGTGTGTTAGCCATAGTGTTGTATGTATGATGGGTTAGTCAACAGTTCAGTATCTAATGAGTATGTACAGCTGACTAAAATGAGAAATACTCCCAGTTCTTTACACAACTTCGAAAATGCTTTCAGGAAAAAGAGCCTGTCAATAACACAGAAACGCCTGACACACTACACACAGAGAACAATAGATCCCTCCTCCGCCCTCCTTCCTATCCCCTCAAATAACTTGTAAATAAGAAGATTTGTGGAGAATGCGAGCTACTTAGAGACAACGCGCGGCTAAGCGGATCATTGAGCGGAGCGGGGGAGAGTTAGTGGTTAGGTATGAAATGGAGGTGATTGGCAGAACCAGTCTATTGAACGCCTGGCTAATGTGTTCAGATGATCTGTTTACAGTTTAGCGCAATCGTTAGGAGGGGAGAATTGTTTGGACACGCACAGACACACACGCACATGCACACACACACATACACACATGACGTGGGAGATGAAGATATGAGTGATTATAAAATAACACATGGCCATTTCACACCTGCCAGTAAATGAGCTCTCCAACAGTTCTCACTTGATGGGTTATGTGGTTCGGAGGTGTGAAGCAGACTCTGTCAAAAGAGGGGTTTATACAGAAACTATAATCAGGTAGGAGGTGATATGAAATTCACTCCGCCACGCCGCGGGATGAGGTGCTGTTGTGGGAGGATTATTTAGAATATTTACTTGACAAAGAACATGGTGGTATGATAATGTCCTGATTTATCACTGTGATTCTGCTCTGTATTATGCTGTGTGTGGACTGTAGCTAGCATGTTCTTTCAAGTGAACTAGCTTCATTGATCCAACACATGGACTACTGAATACTATTGTTGAAGAGAGAGAGAGAGAAACAGAGAGAGAGAGAGAAAGCGATATACAGGTAACTGCCAATATAAAGTGTCTTAATAGGGCGTTGGGCCACCACTAGCCGCCAGAACAGCTTCAATGCGCCTTAGCATAGATTCTACAAGTGTCTGCGACACCATTCTTGTCTCAGGAGCCGCTCCAGAATCTTTGCCTGACGACTCAAACTGAATTCTTCCGCTGCTCTATGTTTCCTACATACTTCAGTCTGAGACTGCCATCATTGAAGTTGTTTGTGGGGATGTCAAAATGAGAGGTGTTGTACAAAACAAATTCATCAGCGATTGGATCATCTCTAACCAATCAGAGTATCAAAGCCAATGACGAATTAGGGTTAGGGAATTTGCAATACCCATGTGTGTTCTGGCTCTGGCCCAACCCATCGGTTTCTGGGACCAATCAGACGGTCTAGAATGAATTTCCATTCTAGAAATCATCGGGGAGGTACTCAGATCCAGACTCATTGCGGAGAAGAAACTAATGTCAGTGGGTGTGGCATAATGTTTGGCCAGAGCAAGGAGTTTGGGTAGCCAGGCAACCAGAATCTCCCATAAGTGTTAATTTGGGTTAAGATCTGATTACTGACACACACACACACACACACACACACACACACACACACACACACACACACACACACACACCCTTTAAACCCCCTATGCTCCTTTGCGACCTCTCTTTCAAAGTCACTGAGATCTTTTCTAGCCATGGTAGCCAAAATAATGGGCAACTGGGCATTTTTATACATGACCCTAAGCATGGTGGGATGTTTATTGCTTAATGACTCTAAGCATGATGGGATGTTAATTGCTTAATTAACTCAGGAACCACACCTGTGGGGAAGCACCTGCTTTCAATATACTTTGTATCCCTCATGTACTCCAGTGGTTCCTTTATTTGGGCAGTTTCCTGTATATAGAGAGAGATATAAAGGGGTAGTTGGAGTAAGAGGGAGAGAGGAGCGATGAGAGGTTACTTGGCTGTTTTCCTCTCTCTCTCGCTCTCTTTGACCAGTCTATCCACCATGGAGTTGACTGTCCATTTGTCTAGAATGACCCCTGACCTCCAGCACTCCTCTGATGGGAACCACTAGTAACACTGTGTGACTGCTCCCTTTGACCTCCTATAGTGGTAACAACATGATGATACACATACATTAGACATGTATTAGATTTGATTGTGATAATAGCCACCTTAAAGTGAAATCCAACTTTTTGATGCATATAATATTCATACATTATATTAGGTATATTCATAATTACACCATCTATGTTGAAGTAGTTTAGGTTATTGTGAGTGCATTACCACCTTGTTTTTGCAATCAAATTTGACCATGACAGGGTAAACTGATAATCAAATCAAATCAAATTGTATTTGTCACATACTCCGAATACAACTGGTATAGACTTTACCATGAAATGCTTGCTTACGAGCCCTTCCCAATGATGCAGATTTTAAAAAATAATAATACAAAATATAAATAACATAGAAACACTAGAGGAGTAAAATAAAATACAGGAGAATGGAGTTACATACAGGAAGTAGAAGTACCAGATCAATGTGCAGAGGTACGAGGTATTGTGCCCTAGCCTACCATGCAAAGGCACTATGGAGTTATTTTCCCTGGTTGATACAGACGTGCTCAGGAAAGTGATATCACAACTTAAGCCTTCTACCTGTATTCTCAATCCTATCCCCACCACCTTCTGCAAAACAGTTTTGAAATGCATATCTGAAGAAGTGCAAGCTATTGTTAATCACTCCCTGTTCACAGGCACTTTCCTCACTGCACTAAAAACTGCTATGGTGAAACCCCTTCTGAAGAAAAGTAATCTAGATTCTTCAGCTCTTAGCAATTTTCAGCCAATCTCCAACCTTCCATTCTTAAGCAGAATTCTGGAGAAATTGGTTTTCAAACAGCTAAATTATATTTTAAGTACCAACTGTATTTTGGAAAAAATCCAATCTGGTTTTCGTGTCCACCACAGCACAGAGACAGCCTTAGCTAAAGTGGTAAATGATCTTAGAGCCAACAGAGATGCCAAACAGCTCTCTGTACTCTTGGATTTAAGTGCTGAGTTCGACACTGTTGACCATGATGTCCTTCTGGACAGACTGGAGAGGTGGGTTGGCCTCTGGTCCAGTTCTAGGTTGGTTTATGACCTATTTAACCGGTCAAGAGTATTTTTGTCACCCTTTGTGAACATAACTCAGAGAAAATAGATATCACATGTGGAATTCCACAAGGTTCGATTTTGCGTCCGGTATTGTTCAGTTTATATATACTGTACCCCTTGGCAGCGTTATCAGAAAGCACAACATTGATTTTCACTGCTACGCAGATGATATGCAACTTTACATTTCTGTGTCACCAGAGGATTTGAACTCCACAGATCAATTATTAGACTGTATTAGTGATTTAAATACTTGGATGGCTCACAACTTCCTCCAGCTAAATCAAGACAAGACCAAGGTACCTATTATTGGAGCCAAAGCACAGAGAGAGAATCTGGCTGCAGATTTAATTCACGGGCAATAAAGATAAAACACCAGGTAAAAAACCTAGGTGTCATTTTAGATTCTGGATTCAATTTTGAATCACACATTAGGAATGTGAACAAAATAGCTTTTTACAACCTGAGGAACATTGCCAAGGTGCAGCCCTTTCTAGCTCAGGCTGATACAGAGAGACTCATCCATGCTTTCATTACCAGCAGGCTTGACTACTGTAATGCTCTCCTGTCTGGTCTACCCAAGAAATCCATTGGTCACCTGCAAAACATACAGAATGCTGCAGCACGGGTACTGACCAAGACCAGACGAAGAGCACACATTACACCAGTTTTAAAGTCTCTGCACTGGCTGCCTGTGAGTTTTAGAATACATTAAAATATTATTCTATTGGTTTTGAAATCAATCCACGATTGTGCACCCCAATACATATCAGACATACTTTTAAGTTATGTACCCAGTAGGTCCCTCAGGTCATCTGGCACTGGCCTTTTAATTGTCCCAAAGCTTAGGACCAAGAGGCATGGAGAGGTAGCCTTTAGTTATTATGCCCCCAGCCTCTGGAATAGCCTGCCAGAAAACCTGAGGGGGGCCAAAACTGGACATATTTAAAAGGGATCTTAAAACATACCTTTTTAGCTTTGCTTTTCCTTAGGGTGCTTTTTAGTCTTTCAGGTTTAAATTGTTATTCTTTTGTTTTTCATGTCTGAAATGTTCTATATAAATAAAGCTTGATTTGATTTCATATGTTTATGAAGGCAGGGTAAAGTGACTAGGTATCGGGATAGATAATAATAAGAGTAAAATAAAGAACAGAGTAGCAGCAGCTAATGATGAGTGTAAAAGTAGTGTGTAATGTGTATGCATGTGTGTTTGTGTTGTATCGGTATGCGTGTGTGTGTTGTGTGTGTGTGCGTATGTAGTGTATGTGAATGTGTGTGTGTGTATGGTGTGTTTACAGTATATAGTCTAGTGAGTGTGCGTAGGGTCAGTGGAAGATAGAGTCAGTGCAGATAGCTTGGGTACCATTAGTTAACTATTTAGCAGTCTTATGGCTTTTGGTAGAAGCTGTCCCGGTACCGTTTGCTGGACGGTAGCAGAGTGAACAGTCTATGGCTTGGGTAGCTGGAGTCTTTGGAAAATGTTCAGGCCTTCCTCTGACACCGCCTGATATAAAGGTCCTGGATGGCATATGATATATGTTTCCAATAACCTTCCAGAGGCATGCATGGCCAGGGGCACCCACACTTACCCCAACTTTAATTAGTACATAGACAGAGATGTACATCTTCATATTAGAGGTCAGCTTCACAGGGCCAGTAAGGAAGCTATCATATCAATTACATGCTTGCTGCTGGTGTACTGTTGGCTGAACTGAGTTTGACCCCAGTTAGAAGAAGCTAATAATACCTGATGGAACCATCTAGTAGAGATGTTATTGAATGTTATTGAATGTTTTCAGAAATCAGTGCTTCTGCTGGAACAGACATTTTAAGTGTTTATTTACTGAATGTAACGTCAGGAGAGCCTTGGTTTTCTCTGCTTTCTTCCATATAAATGTAGTTTATATATTGTGCCATCAGCACTTCTTGAACCAATAACTGCTTGGGAAGATGGGTCCTCGGGTCAAAAATGGTGTATAAAAATCAATTTTAAATCAATTGTATGTCTTAATGGCATGATAACTTAACTGTAGCTCGCACCGTCGGTGGCAAATATAATGCATCATATGCTAGTCAAGGGAGAGGGGTGTTTTATGACATTGAGATGTGGGCATCAGTAAAACATTTATCTGTTGCCAAAGACGCAACATTTAACCAACGCTGTCGCCGTTAAATCACAGACTGCAGCCACGACTGGTGATAAACCTGAGGGGCAGAGGAGAGCTATAGGGAACGCTATCACACACACACAACACACACACACACACACACACACACACACACACACACACACACACACACACACACACACACACACACACACACACACACACACACAAAGAGCTCTCTTCCCATCAGAAAGTCTAGGTGATGAGAAGCCTACACAGCATCAGAGAGGACCTTGGCATGACCTAGAGAACTGCACCTATAAGCATGTTGCCTAAGTGTTTTAAACGCTCCACCATCATTTAATATGGGAGCCAGTGGGACAGGGGTCAAGGTCAAATAATGCAAGGAAGTGTTTTTAACGAGAGAGAGAATTGCCACAGGAGGTGCCAGTGGGTGGAAGCTTGACATTTTGACAGGCCTCAATGTCGAACATTATTGATTTCATTTCCTCATAGGCCTATCATATTTTATAATAATTTAATCTGTGTGGCTTGTAGGCGTGGGAAGTGGGATAGGATGGATGTTTGTATGATTATATGATTGAAGGAAGACACTACAGATTTGTGTGTTTCCTGTCTGATAGGTCTGTTTGTGGAGGAGGACTATACTGTAATGTTGCATGGTTGGCACAGGATGGCTGTAGGCTAAATCTCATTATTTCATCCTTCATTGAGGAGAATTAAATCAGATGATATGAAATTGACACCATAGCTGTGTCTGAAAATGTAACCCTACAATGGCTGCATTTCCTGTTCACTTCCTGGTTTAAAGACCACTTCCTGCTCAGGTGTTCTTCTTCTCTCACTACCTAGTCAATACTGCATCAGACTGACAGTATTACAGTCTCTACAACTTCTCCATGTTGTAATCCTATCCTGCCTATTTTTTTTAAAATGTATGAACAAACATCTGTTGGATTAAGTGAGATTATAGCTAGTAGCTATCATTTTTCTCTGGAAGCTTTCATGCTCAAGGGATTTCATGCCACAAGGTGTGGTGTGTTTTGACTGAGAAGGAAGGCTAATTAATAATCCCTTTCTCTGCACCTATAGCCTCCCATGCAGCATCCTCCCTTCTTCTCCTCTCCCCCGGAAGAGGTGACAGGGTTTTTCCACTTCCATGCTTTTACATTAGAAGATATGTGAATAAGCAAATATTAAGGCACAAACACCTACCTGCCTACGTTCCTCAGTCACAGTGTGTCTTTGATTCAATAAATGTCCAATGTCTTATGTGCTCTCTGGTTAAAAATGCATGACATCCCCGGTCATCTCCTGCACATTATAACCAGAGAGGCTGCTTCTTCTTCTCCTCTTCACTTCAATATTCTCAAAATGGCCCCTGTGTTTACCCTTCATTGCTAGATATTTCCTGCCTCTCGGATTGTCTCTCTGCTGTGTGTAGATATACTCACCCTCCTCTCAACGCTAGGCTAGCTGGCCGCAACCGGGAGACCAATGGGGCGGCGCACAATTGGCCCAGCGTCGTCCAGGGTAGGGGAGGGAATGGCAGGCAGGGAGGTAGCTCAGTTGATAGAGCATGGCGTTTGCAACGCCAGGGTTGTGGGTTCGTTTCCCACGGGGGGCCAGTATGAAAATAATAATGTATGCACTAACTGTAAGTCGCTCTGGATAAGAGCGTCAGCTAAATGACGTAAATGTAAATGTAAATGTTTTCAAAGGATTGAAAAATGAATTTTTAAAATATTTCAGTGAGTTAATTTACTTCATTTGCCTTAGTTCTGCCAGTCCGAATTATCAGCTCTCTCAAATAGAGTTTAGCAGTGGCATCTTTGTGGGTATTACACTGTGTCCTGGCCCACAGCCAGCAGACTCCCAGTAAATATATTTAAATCAGCGCTAAGCTGCTTAAAATATTCATGTTTCACTCACAGCTAGTTTATAGAAATGCGAAACTGTCGCCCACTCGCAAATCAGTTACACAGTTAAAAATATATCATTTTAAGTTTTCGGGAACAAAAAAAGGGAAGAGAGAGAGAGAGAGAAAGAGAGCATAGCAGTGATGAATTAAACCCATGTGTGTATGCGTGTGTGTGGGTGTGTATGCGTGTGTGTGTGTGTCCACAGGGATACACAGAAACGGGGGGAAGAGAGGGGGACGGCATGTTCCTCTCAGGCCTGTGATGCTGCGATGCGTGAAGCGATTTAATATGCCTCATGAAGTGATTATTCTAAAAGTCCCTCTCTTCCTTTCCGCATCCCTCTATGGCTCCATCCCTCCTTGGGGTTGAAAAGGAAGATATCTGGTGTTAGTTTTGCCAAATAGCAAATAAGGAGTATACATCTCACTGTTATTAGTGTTGCCCACTGCTTCAGAGACAGGCCCTACCGTACTGTACTGTACAGAGCATAGGTTGTGTTCAGTAGAGCTGAGCACTTAGCCTGGTCTCATAGACTAGACGTAACATAGTAAACATAAATCCAAGACACTCAAATGAGTATGATATGTTACGTTTGGTATGGTTACAAAAAACAGATGGTTACTTAAGGAAAAAACAAAAGTAGGGTGGTTGGTCGGTGTGTATAACGCGAACGTCTAGCAACCCAAAGGTTGCGAGTTCAAATTTCATCACAGCAACATTAGCATTTTAGCTATTTAGCAACTTTCAACTATATACTTACTACTTTTTAGCTACTTTGCAGCTACTTAGCATGTTAGCTAACCCTTCCCCTAACCCTAACCTTTTCCCTTTAGCTAACCCTTCCCCTAACCCTAACCTTAACCCTTTAACCTAACGCCTAAACGTAACCCTTTTACCTTAACCCAGCTAGCTAATGTTAGCGTCCTAGCTAGAATTCGTAACATATCCTACATTTTGTTAAATCGCAACATTTAGTACATTTTGCAAATTCATAAACTATTGTATGTTTTGCAAATTCGTAACATATGATACAAATTGTAATTCATATCATACGTATCATACAAAATGGTTGATGAACATTCAAAAATTAATACATACAATACGAAATGTAACTTATCATACTAAATGGAGTGACTCGGATTTACTTACAGAATAATACGAAACGCTCTGAGACCAGCACTCCATAGAAAACACTTTTCCTTTTCTTTTGGGGAAATGAAAATCTGTGTTCTAATTGTACAATTTCACTCCATTTCAGAACATTATTGCTAGCGAACATGACCAGGGTTTAGTTTAACTGCAGATGGGGCTGGAGATAGAGAGCCGGACAGTACTGTGCTGCTTCACATGGATGACTTTAGCTGCGCAAGGCACTGAGTGGATGAGGATGAGGGTAGGTAGCTCCAGAGAGAAGTGCTGACTGGCGGTAGGTAGGGGTTTGGAGGTGAACGTTGTGACTGTGGTGACGATGCGGTTTTGGTGGAAGGGACACATCAGAGGTGACACTGAGGTAGACAACATGACTGTGTGAAGTAGAGGTGTTGCCTTTCTCAGATGATTCCATAGTCCTGATATATGAGTTGGGCACAGCTTCTCTGTCCTTGTCCTTGACTGTCTGTATTGCATGCTTGTTGTGTCCCAGGTCCTATCATTGTATTCCATGTCTCATCATAGCATCCTGAGTGTCTTCCTGGGTTTTGTTGAGTAGGCACAAAACATTACAAAACACTCAGAAAAAAGGTATTAGCTGAATTTGTTCAATATGAAGTCTCATTTTCTGCTGCAAAACATTTCTCTACGGTGTGCCCTAACGAACACAACCCTGGTGTCCTGTGTGTTTCTGTGTTTCAGGCATTTTGCTGGTTGAGGATAATTAGGCTGTCATATACTTCTTGCTAGCATGGTCCCAGATCTGTTTGTGCTGTCTAACCAACTCATGGTCATTGGCTATACTGATCTGGAACCAGGCTACCTTCTTGTAAGGTCTCAGCCAGATGTCTCTATTCTCTGTCTCAGGCTGTGGGACATATGAAGCCGGGAGGAGATGGACACCATGTTTCTTGGGATGCAGAGCCCCAATCATTGAGAATGGCAGAGACATTTTTCTGAGTCAATAGCTCATTTGGGGGGTTATGAATTAGAATGATCTTGCTGAGGGGAAGGTAGACCAGAATGTATCCCGATTTCTGCTGCTGGTCTTAAAAAAAAAAAGGAATAATAATCTGCTCGGAAAATCGATGCTCGGAATGCAGCGCCCACAGGGACAAATACCAGGATCCTATTCTGACCGCACACACATGCACACACACACACGTGTGTGCACACAGACAAAAACACACATGGACACACACACGCGAGCACACACATCTGTCAATCGTGTGAATTTCTGCAGATACGAAGCAAATCCAATTCTGAAATGTCATTTTAAAATTTCAGGGCCATTTAGATTGGGTTGTGTGTTGAGACTGACGGCTGGCTCCATCCACTCTTCAGGGGAAACGGATTATATGTCAATATGTCCTCAGTGACTGGGACTTTCTTTTATTAGCAAGTAGTTGTATTTTAGTATCATCCACATTATAGAGTTGCTTTGCTAACAGTGTGTGTGTGTGCGTGCGTGTGTGTGTGTGTGTGTGTGTGTGTGTGTGCGTGTGTGTGTGTTTGTATCTCTTTCCCTCTCCTCCTCTATAGGAGTGTTCTCGGTGATAAGTCAGTAGCATGGTAGAAGTAAAACCTGTGTTTGCTGTGTCTTTATCACTGCTGACTCAACAAGAGAGAGGGACTGAGTGAGTGGAGGAGGAGAAGAGCGGGTGTAGGAGAGAGACGGATGGGGAGCAGTGGCGGCTCCTGAAAAAATTCTCAGGAGGGGCAATTTTTCTGATGATTTAGGTGACCTACACACATTTAAAAAAAGATATGTCCAGCAACAACATGAAGACAGGGGCAGCATATAAGTCAATACCAGAAGCATTTATTGACTGATCTGGGGAGATGGATTCCAGTTTCTGTGACAGATTATAAATAATCTCTGATGCCTTTGTTATATTAGCTTTTGGTTGAATGTACTGTCGTAGTAAATATATAATGTTATAGCTTGGTCTGACTAAAATCTTGTGCATGACCCATTTTGTGTTGGGCGTTTGTTTTCAATCAATGCTGTTCCTATCCTATAACAATGGACAAAAGAGTCCTATCTTGTCAGCCTTGTCAGCAGGTGGCCAAGGACAACACCCACGCCATAGGTCTCTCAGTTCTTCCAACTCACGAGTTCTTGCTCTGAGGACACACACACACACACACACACACACATCATCACTGATAACACACACACACACACACATCATCACTGTTAAACACACACACACACACACACAAAAATCCCCTCTCTTTAGGCTGAACATTTGAAGACAGAGAACCCGACTCAGAGCCAATGCAACAGTGGAGGGGACCTCGCCCAACTCATCAGGACCAATCAGAAGATCAGAACTACTAGATTCAACCTACATCATTTATTGTATAAAATGTCTAAACTGCCTTTATTATACCATATCCACCCTGTCCAAAGTCTCTACTTGGTCTCAGTTCTCCAGTAAACTTGTGATTATCAACAGTACACAACGGTAACAAACAATTGGGGGAACTCACGGGGCAGATAGTAAGGTCGCAGTGACACAGAAAGCAGTTCAATGTCGGGGGTACAGAGTCGCTCTCTTACCAGGATCGATTTTCCCTGTGACTGTCAGATCGCGGTCCGCTCTGACCAGGGTGAAGCCGGCCGGCTCCACTTCTCTGTCCGGGACTCTGTCATCCAGCCAAGTCTCCCAGCTGTATTGGATTCCGCTGCCAGCAGCGTTTTCATTATTTAGTCCGTTCGTAGCGGGTATGTACACGATCAACAAGATCAGTCCAAAACCCACCACTGGAAATCCATGGTTGGCAGAATGTTTGTAAACTAAGTGTACAAATTAAAAACATAAAATAACGCCACTAAGTGTACAAATTAAAAACAGAAGATAACGCCACACTGCAGGTCGCAACAGAGACGCTGCTAGCCGCTATTTTCTTAGTTACGTTCATGGTTACGTCACGTATGACGAAAGCGCGTAAGTGCAAGCCCACAGACACCCATAGAGATTGTATTGAAAGCTTTGAAATTTGAAAAAAATAGATTTTACATGGGAGTCTATGACAGACTTCTGGGCGATTTTCAACATGACTGAAATCGCCCCAAAAACGGGCGGGGCCATTTGAAGCACGACTTTAGCCTGATTTGACATTTAGTGGCAGTCAGATCAGATTAGAACACTGATAACTACTGTTGCCGTGATATAATTGATTAGAAAAAAAATCCCTTCCTTTTCCCGTTTGGCAGTGCGTCGCCCATATCGCCCTATTGAACACACCGCCCCTGTTCAGAGTGCAGTGAGGCTCTTTGCGCCACTAGAAGCTAAACAGAATAAGTCAAGAAAGTCAAGTCATGATGCTGTGAAAAGAGCAGAACCTCTTTAACTTCTGTTGACTCAACACTACTAACTCTCTCTTGAGGCACACACCCAGACACAACCAGACTCTTACCCCCCCCCCCCCCCCCCCCCCCCAGCTCCTCCTCTCTCTGACCTGCAGGTACAGCACCACACCCAGACACAACCAGACTCTTACCCCCCCCCCCCCCCCCCCCCCCCCAGCCCCTCCTCTCTCTGACCTGCAGGTACAGCACCACACCCAGACACAACCAGGCACACCTGGATTGTACAATATTAGCACATTATTCTTTAAAGAATTCTTCGAGCTCTATGAAGTTGGTTGTTGATCATTGCTAGACAGCCAATTTCAAGTCTTGCCATAGATTTTCAGTCAAAACTGTAACTAGGCCACTCAGGAACATTCAATGTCATCTTGGTAAGAAACTCCAGAGTATATTTGGCCTTGTCTTTTAGGTTATTGTCCTGCTGGAAGGTGCATTTATCTCCCAGTGTCTGTTGGAAAGCAGACTGAACAAGATTTTCCTCTAGGATTTTGCCTGTGCTTAGCTCTACTCCGATTTATTTTTATACCCCCCCCCCCCCCAAAAAAAAAAAAAATAGTACTGAAGAGTAGTACTAAGTGATGTGTTGTGATGGATTTGCCCCAAACATTACACATTGTATTCAGGACATAAAGTTAATTTCTTTGCCACATTTTTGTCCGTTTTACTTTAGTGCCTTATTGCAAACAGGATGCATGTTTTGGAATATTTTTATTCTGTACAGGCTTTCTTATTTTCACTCTGTTATTTAGGTTAGTATTGTGGAGTAACTACAATGTTGTTGATCCATTCTCAGTTTTCTCCTATCACAGCCATTAAACTCTGTAACTGTTTTAAAGTCACCATTGGCCTCATGGTGAAATCCCTGAGTGGTTTCGTTCCTCTCCGGCAACTGAGTTAGAAAGGACGCCTGTAGCTTTGTAGTGACTGGGTGTATTGAATACTTATTGGCTCAAGACAATTCAGCTTTTAATTTTTAATTAATTTGTAAACATTTCTTAAAACATAATTGCACTTTGACATTATAGGGTATTGTGTGTAGGCCAGTGACACAACATCTCAATTTCATTCATTTTCAATTCAGGCTGTACCACAACAAAATTTGGAAAAAGTCAAGGGGTGTGAATACTTTCCGAAGGCACTGTATAGCATATCACTGAGAGCAGTGAGCTCAACCAGGGACTGTAGAGGGGACTTAGGCAGAGTTATCTATACACCCTCCCCATCAGGGGCGGTGTGTTCAATAGGGCGATATGGGCGACGCACTGCCAAACGGGAAAAGGAAGGGATTTTTTTTCTAATCAATTATATCACGGCAACAGTAGTTATCAGTGTTCTAATCTTATCTGACTGCCACTAAATGTCAAATCAGGCTAAAGTCGTGCTTCAAATGGCCCCGCCCGTTTTTGGGGCGATTTCAGTCATGTTGAAAATCGCCCAGAAGTCTGTCATAGACTCCCATGTAAAATCTATTTTTTTCAAATTTCAAAGCTTTCAATACAATCTCTATGGGTGTCTGTGGGCTTGCACTTACGCGCTTTCGTCATACGTGACGTAACCATGAACGTAACTAAGAAAATAGCGGCTAGCAGCGTCTCTGTTGCGACCTGCAGTGTGGCGTTATCTTATGTTTTTAATTTGTACACTTAGTGGCGTTATTTTATGTTTTTAATTTGTACACTTAGTTTACAAACATTCTGCCAACCATGGATTTCCAGTGGTGGGTTTTGGACTGATCTTGTTGATCGTGTACATACCCGCTACGAACGGACTAAATAATGAAAACGCTGCTGGCAGCGGAATCCAATACAGCTGGGAGACTTGGCTGGATGACAGAGTCCCGGACAGAGAAGTGGAGCCGGCCGGCTTCACCCTGGTCAGAGCGGACCGCGATCTGACAGTCACAGGGAAAATCGATCCTGGTAAGAGAGCGACTCTGTACCCCCGACATTGAACTGCTTTCTGTGTCACTGCGACCTTACTATCTGCCCCGTGAGTTCCCCCAATTGTTTGTTACCGTTGTGTACTGTTGATAATCACAAGTTTACTGGAGAACTGAGACCAAGTAGAGACTTTGGACAGGGTGGATATGGTATAATAAAGGCAGTTTATTCAGAGGTAAAGATATCTGGAATCGCGTGCACGGACTCGTTCGTCAAACTCTTAGGGAGCTATCTGAAGAGAGCCCCGAAAACATTGTGTGCAGACATTTTATACAATAAATGATGTAGGTTGAATCTAGTAGTTCTGATCTTCTGATTGGTCCTGATGAGTTGGGCGAGGTCCCCTCCACTGTTGCATTGGCTCTGAGTCGGGTTCTCTGTCTTCAAATGTTCAGCCTAAAGAGAGGGGATTTTTGTGTGTGTGTGTGTGTGTGTTTAACAGTGATGATGTGTGTGTGTGTGTGTGTTATCAGTGATGATGTGTGTGTGTGTGTGTGTGTGTGTGTGTGTGTGTCCTCAGAGCAAGAACTCGTGAGTTGGAAGAACTGAGAGACCTATGGCGTGGGTGTTGTCCTTGGCCACCTGCTGACAAGGCTGACAAGATAGGACTCTTTTGTCCATTGTTATAGGATAGGAACAGCATTGATTGAAAACAAACGCCCAACACAAAATGGGTCATGCACAAGATTTTAGTCAGACCAAGCTATAACATTATATATTTACTACGACAGTACATTCAACCAAAAGCTAATATAACAAAGGCATCAGAGATTATTTATAATCTGTCACAGAAACTGGAATCCATCTCCCTAGATCAGTCAATAAATGCTTCTGGTATTGACTTATATGCTGCCCCTGTCTTCATGTTGTTGCTGGACATATCTTTTTTTAAATGTGTGTAGGTCACCTAAATCATCAGAAAAATTGCCCCTCCTGAAAAATTTTTCAGGAGCCGCCACTGACTCTGAAGATCACCAATGATCTCCTGTTGTATAACACAACTTCAATCCCCTGCACTTAGGGAAATACTGTCTGTATACCCCACATGAATATCCTTACTGCTAACTTATACACTATTCATCAGTGGTTGCATCCTAAAGAATCCTAAGGAGAGAAGATGTGATGTGTCTTTGAGGAGAAGTTCTCTGTTCTGTGAAGCTATCAGAGGAAATGAGTTGGACCCGGCCGGCTGCTGACTGGAGAAGAAAGAAAGAAAGAAAGAAAGAAAGAGAGACTTCAGGCATTTCCTGGAAGTGCTGTGCCATCACAAAGAACAGGATCACTGAATTCAACGTGTGTGTGCTCAGATGTTTCATCTGCACTTTGTGAGACTGTGTGTGTGTGTGAGCGCAGATGTCTTATCTACACTGTGAATCTGTGTGTTTAGTGTGTTTGTTTTTCTCTGCACCAGACTTGAAGGGTCCTCCTTAGCTCAGAACCTCTATCTGCTCCCACTATAACCCCTTGGAGAATTCTATCAGACACAAATATTCCCAACGCAACTTGACTCCTCTCCCATTTTGAGCTGTAGCTAAGGGGGATTGGAGTTGTGTGGGTGCGTATGTGTTTTTGTGTGTTTGAATGCGTGTGTATGCGTGTGTGTGCTTATGTGTGTCTCTCGCTCAGTGTGTATTGGTGTGTGTGCGTGTGTGTGTGAGAGCGTTTGTGTGTGTGTGTGTGTGTGTGTGTGTTTGTGTGTGCATGTGGACTGCTGGGCTTACCATACGGGAGAGAGAGAAGAAATGTAGGAAAAGAAAGTGAGAAAACAACAGTGTAAAAGTAGAGAGGGAAGAGAATGCAGAAGGAGAGAGGAAGAGAGAAGGGTGAAGGTCAGAGAAGATATGAACAGTTAGAGACAGAGAGGATTGAGGAACTAAATAAAGGATGTTGTGTAAGAATAAGTGTAAAGTCAGTGAGACTATGGGGACCTACAATATTAGCTACCTTGTTACTCTGTTACTCTCATCTCATACAGCCAACTCAACACAACATACCAGGGAGGCCCAAGAGTCCTGGACACTGCACTGTACCCTACAGCACTACCGATGGGCTGATACAGAGAGTTTTAAGTGTGTGTGGTGTGTGTGTGTGTACACACATGTGTGTTACTGTAACTGTAACTGCCACCTCGGGACGTATGTTTAGGTCAAAGCCATCCATTCAGTTAGCCATTAAGAGATTGAGTCTCAGTCATAGTGCCATGGGGCTATAGTAGACTGTGGCTCCACCTTGTCTGTCGTATTAAACATCTCAGAGAGAGAGAGAGAGAGAGAAGGATAGAAGCAAGAGCAAAAGAGAGGGAGAGAGAGAGACCCTGTAGAGTAGCAGAGAGAAAGCTCTCTGTGTCAACTGGGATCCTCCTGAGGCAGGTTGATGGGGGATTGCTGCTGTGTGTGTGTTTGAGAGAGAGAGAGTGTGTGTGTTTTAGAGAGCTAGAGAGAGTGTGTGTGTGTTTTAGAGAGATAGAGAGTGTGCGCGTGTGTGTGTAGCATTACTTGTAGCATTACCTCAAAGGAGTACCCACTGGGCACAGACGTCAATTCAACGTCTATTCCACATTGGTTCAATGTAATTTCATTGAAATTGCATGGAAACAAAGTTGATTGAACCGTTGTGCCCAGTGGGTAGAGTCCTGCTCCCCAAATCTAGAAGCATGGAGAGGGCTTGTGTGTGTGTTCCTGGAGAGGGCTTGAATGTAAGTAGTGGTACAGGGTCATACATACAGTATATCAGAGTGGAGTAATGTTCTATCCCCTATTTGATGTAGTTCATGTTTGAGTTATTGATTCGGTTTTGGCTCAGTGTTTTGTACTGTGTTGTGTTTGGCTGGTGCCTTCCCAATAAGAATCTGGTGTAGAATTGTGCTTGTTAGATTTGGTGCATGACAATGCCTTGTAGTCTATATGCAAATGTATGTGTGGCTGTGAGTACAAATGAACTATGTAGAGTAAACCTGTATGTATCCAATTAGTTAAATCAGGAAGCATTGTTCAGGCGGGGGGTAAACAAATAAAAAAGGTCTAATTTATAACCAAACTGGCTATTTCCCTGTGAGGAATACAATTAGGCTGATTGAAAATGCTGGACATGTATTGATGCTGGCAGTCTAATTAATGCCCTCTTTTACTGGTGTGAAAAGCAAGCAGCCTACTGCCCCTTTGTTCTGTGTCTGTGTGTCTGTGTCTGTGTCTGTGTGTCTGTGTCTGTGTCTGTGTGTGTGTGTGTGTGTGTGTGTGTGTGTCTACAACCCCTTTGTTCCATATTCTCAATGTCTGCAGTAGCTACTCTTTCCTCCATGTCCTGTTTGTAATCCACAGCTCCATCCCTGGGGTACAACAAACTATCTTAAAGTAGCAGGACTGCAGGTTGCTGTACAGTGCTCTACTGTTCTCTATCACTGTTCTATAACACGGTTTCAGCCAGGAAAGACAGAGAGAGGGACACGTCTTATGATATAACAGTGACTGCACTCTGACACCCCCTATGCGGCGACCCCTGACATCTATCCTCTCGCTAAACAAATATGACATCATGTTTCTCTCAGGTCACCCCACAGGGGATCCCCCCTGATTCATTAGAAACACAGACGGGTGACAACGGACCCTAAATTATTCAACACTGACTTGTGAGTCGGAGAGAAAGAAACTGCCGCCATCTCGCTCTTTTGCCCTCTCCCTCTCCCTCTCCCGCTCTCCCAAATCAATCAATCCTGTTTAAAATGGGCTGTGTGTGGTGGATAAAAAATGGATGTGGGTAAATTGGAGAGGCATGTAGACTGTTAGAGGTAATACACAGTGGCACCAGGCACAGTAAGACATCAGTTCCGAGGTATTTTTGATGTTTCCTGTCACTGTGAGTGTGGCCCTGATCTCATTCTGAGGTGAAAATAAGCAAAGAGACCTGTTGGGAGAGCTTTGTTGGCAGGAGGCCATACTGGAGAGGTGAGAGAACACAGAGAGCGAGAGAGAGAGAGAGAGAGAGAGAGAGAGAGAGAGAGAGAGAGAGAGAGAGAGAGAGAGAGAGAGAGAGAGATGGAGGAGAACCCATTGCCCTTTATGGTTGTGAGGTCTGGGGTCCGCTCACCAACCAAGAATTCACAAAATGGGACAAACACCAAATTGAGACTGTGCATGCAAAATTCTGCAAAAACATCCTCTGCGTACAACGTAAAACACCAAATAATGCATGCAGAGCAGAATTAGGCCAATACCCGCTAATTATCAAAATCCAGAAAAGAACGTTAAATTCTATAACCACGTAAAAGGAAGCGATTCCCAAACCTTCCATAACAAAGTTATCACCTACAGAGAGATGAACTTGGAGAAGAGTCCCCTAAGTAAGCTGGTCCTGGGGCTCTGTTCACAAACACAAACAGACCCCACAGAGCCCCAGGACAACAACAACAACACAATTAGACCCAACCAAATCATGAGAAAACAAAAAGAGAATTACTTGACACATTGGAAAGAACAAACAAAAAAACAGAGCAAACTAGAATGCTATTTGGCCCTAAACAGAGAGTACACAGTGGCAGAATACCTGACCACTGTGACTGACCCAAACTTAAGGAAAGCTTTGACTATGTACAGACTCAGTGAGCATAGCCTTGCTATTGAGAAAGGCCGCCGTAGGCAGACCTGGCTCTCAAGAGAAGACAGGCTATGTGCACACTGCCCACAAAATGAGGTGGAAACTGAGCTGCACTTCCTAACCTCCTGCCAAATGTATGACCATATTAGAGACACATATTTCCCTCAGATTACAGCGATCCACAAAGAATTCGAAAACAAACCCAATTTCGATAAACTCCTTTATCTACTGGGTGAAAAAACACAGTGTGCCATCACAGCTGCAAGATTTGTGACCTGTTGCCACAAGAAAAGGGCAACCAGTGAAGAACAAACACCATTGTAAATACAACCCATATTTATGTTTATTTATTTTCCCATTTGTACTTTAACTATTTGCACATTGTTACAACACTGTATATATACATAATATGACATTTGAAATGTCTTTATTCTTTTGGAACTTCTGAGTGTAATGTTTACTGTTAATATGTATTGTTTATTTCACTTTTGTTTACTATCTACTTCACTTGCTTTGGCAATGTTAACATACGTTTCCCATGCCAATAAAGCCCTTAAATTGAAATTGAAATTGAAATTGAATTGAGAGAGAGATAGAGAGAAAGCGGGAGAGAGAGGGAGGGAGAGAGAGGGAGAGAGAGGGAGCGAGAGAGAGAGAGAGAGAGAGGGAGAGAGATCTACTGGTCCTCAGACAGGAAAAAACTCCACCAGTGAACAGAGAAGGGCAGTTGATGTCAGCAAGGCAGTCTTTCCTCATGTCTCTGCCAGTTACTGAGTATACAGTATATGTCTACACACATCTATGGTCTACCACCATGGTACACAGAAACACTCCTCCTGGAGAGAGAGAGGTCCGGTTAGGTAATCATACAACTCTAGAACTGCTCCCCCCTTTCTCTCTCTACCACCTCCGATCCCCCCCTCCCTCCTCGCTTTGTGAACCAATCCTCTGGTGGAAACATTCTAAAAAAGGAAACAGACATGTTGCCCCCGGCTCTATTCTCTTTTAATAGGCGTTTAATAGGCGTATTCCTGACGGAGCTAGCTGGAGTTCACCTTGATGTCACATATTAACAGCAGCCAGCACTGGGCTCATGGCTGAGGGTTGGCTTCCATTAATGGGCACACACTGTACAGCTAAATAGAATGAGGAGGAAGAGGAGGGGGCAGACCTGGGTTCAAATACTATTTGAAATCATTTGAGCCTGATTGAGCTTGCCTGTTGCATTGGAACCAATTGAAACGTCTCAAAAGTGCAAACCCTGCCCACCTGTTAACCCAGACAGACTAAACCTAAACATTTAGTGTTTGAAAAATTGAACCCAGGTCTGGGGAATCACTTATAGATTTACTGGGAACTCCTTTTTTCTCTCAGGTCTGTTTTTCTGAGGCAGGTGTGTGTGGATCTGTGTGTGGGAGACAGGCTGTATGTGTGTAGATCTGTGTGTGGGAGACAGGCTGTATGTGTGTAGATCTGTGTGTGGGAGACAGGCTGTATGTGTGTAGATCTGTTTGTGGGAGACAGGCTGTATGTGTGTGGATGTGGATGGCTCTGTTGTGTTGTTGTTGTCACAGTGAAGAGAATCTGGCTCCTCTCTGAATGGGTTTTTGTGTTGCGGTGTCAGGACCCTTTTTGGATGAGTGCTCATGTATGGCTGAGGGAGTATGTCTTCACTCTCTCTACCACCCTCTCTCTTTCTCTCTCAACCCTCTCCTCTAGGGCTGGTAATTGCCAGGGACCTCACGATATGATATTATCACGATACTTAGGTGCCAATATGATATGTATTGGGATTCTCACAATTCTCACGATTCTATATGTATTGCGAATCAATACTGCCATTTTATTGTGATTTAATGTTCCAAACATATTGCTCACTATGTGCCTGCTAAGAAGATGGAGAACAAGCGATAGGATTAAAAACACCGGAGTTTTGGCGCAGGTGCAGCCGAATAGTGCTAGCTAATGCTACCTAGCGACAACGAGTCAACGTACTGCATCTACAGTTGAAGTTGGAAGTTTACATTCACTTAGGTTGGAGTCATTAAAACTCGTTTTTCAACCACTCAACAAATTTCTTGTTAACAAACTATAGTTTTGGCAAGTCGGTTAGGACATCTACTTTGTGCATGACACAAGTAATTTTTCCAACAATTGTTTACAGACAGATTATTTCACTTATAATTCACTATATCACAATTCAAGTGGGTCAGAAGTTTACATACACTAAGTTGACTGTGCCTTTAAACAGCTTGGAAAATTCCAGAAAACGATGTCATGGCCTTAGAAGCTTCTGATAGGCTAATTGACATCATTTGAGTCAATTGGAGGTGTACCTGTGGATGTATGTCAAGGCCTACCTTCAAACTCAGTGCCTCTTTGTTTGACATCATGGGAAAATCAAAAGAAATCAGCCAAGACCTCAGAAAAAATATTATAGACCTCCACAAGTCTGGTTCATCCTTGGGAGCAATTTCCAAATGCTTGAAGGTACCACGTTGTCACGCCCTGGCCTACAGAACTCTAGCTAGTTTGGTCAGTGTGGGAATATTCTAGATTTGTATTTCTATGTTGGCTGGTGTGGTTCCCAATCAGAGGCAGCTGTCGCTCGTTGTCTCTGGTTGGGAATCATACTTAGGCAGCCTTTTGGCACTGTCTAGGTGTGGGTTCTTGTTCCGTGTAAGGTTTGTTGTGTTGTACCTTTGGACTTCATGTTTCGTTTCCTTTGTTGTTTTGTCGTGTGTTTATCGTTAAATAAACATGTACGCATATCACGCTGCGGCTTGGTCCGACCCGTCTTTAAACGAACGTGACAGAAGAACCCACCAAACGAGGACCAAGCAGCGTTCCCAGGAGCAGCAGACACCCTGGACATAGGTGGAGGAGCAGAGAGTATGGACTTGGCGGGAGATAAGAGAGGATCTGGCAAGGCAGATGGAGGCCCTGAAAGGGATCAGGGTGGAGAAGGAGAGACAGCCCCAAGAAAATTTTGGGTGGGTAAAAGGGTGGTCGGGGAGCGACAGAGACGAGCCCCGACCACTGCACTCGTGGGGGCTCAAGGAGGAGTCCTCACTGGAGGAGGATGGGGCGCGGAGTGTAAAGGACGGAGACAGTCATACACCTCCAGCGCCGGTTCCTAGTCCGGTACGCCCCGTACCTGCTCCCCGCACCAAGCCAGTGGTGCGTGTTCCCAGTCCGGCCCGGCCTGTTCCTGCTCCTTGCACCAAGCCAGTTGTTCGTGTTCCCAGTCCGGCCCGGCCTGTTCCTGCTCCTCGCACCAAGCCTGTGGTGCGCGTCGCCAGTCTGGCCCGGCCTGTTCCTGCTCCTCGCACCAAGCCAGTGGTGTGCGTCGCCAGTCCGGCCCGGCCTGTTCCTGCTCCTCGCACCAAGCCAGTGGTGCGCGTCGCCAGTCCGGCACGGCCCGTGCCCGTTCCACCGGTGCCTGGTCCGGCACCGGTCAGCGGCTCCACTCTGGAGCCAGAGCAGTCCGCTCCACCGGTGCCTGATCCAGATCCAGTCGGTTGCTCCACTCCGGAGCCAGAGCAGTCCGCCCCACCGGTGCCCAAGCCAGCTCCGGGCAGCGGCTCCACTGCCGGAGCCGCCACCGAGGCTGGAAGCCCACCCGGACCCTCCCCTATTCAGTCAGGTTTGTGAGGCCGGAGTCCGCACCTTTGGGGGGGGAGGGGGGTACTGTCACGCCCTGGCCTACAGATCTCTAGCTAGTTTGGTCAGGGTGTGAATATTCTAGATATGTATTTCTATGTTGGCTGGTGTGGTTCCCAATCAGAGGCAGCTGTCGCTCGTTGTCTCTGGTTGGGAATCATACTTAGGCAGCCTTTTGGCACTGTCTAGGTGTGGGTTCTTGTTCCGTGTAAGGTTTGTTGTGTTGTACCTTTGGACTTCACGTTTCGTTTCCTTTGTTGTTTTGTCGTGTGTTTATCGTTGAATAAACATGTACGCATATCACGCTGCGCCTTGGTCCGACCCATCTTTAAACGAACGTGACACACGTTCATCTGTATAAACAATAGTACGCAAGTATAAACACCATGGGACCACGTAGCCGTCATACCGCTCAGGAAGGAGACGCGTTCTGTCTCCTAGAGATGAACGTACTTTGGTGCGAAAAGTGCAAATCAATCCCAGAACAACAGCAAAGGACCTTGTGAAGATGCTGGAGGAAACAGGTACAAAGGTATCTATATCCACAGTAAAACGAGTCCTATATCAACATAACCTGAAAGACCGCTCAGCAAGGAAGAAGCCACTGCTCCAAAACCGCCATAAAAAAGCCAGACTACGGTTTGCAACTGCACATGGGGACAAAGATCATACTTTTTGGAGAAATGTCCTCTGGTCTGATGAAACAAAAATAGAACTGTTTGGCCATGTCACGAACGTTGAGAGACGGGTCGGACCAAGGTGCAGCGTAAAAAGCGTACATGTTTATTACCTCTAAACATACAACAAAACAAAAAACAACGTAACGTGAAGTCCAAAGGTCTATACACATACAGTGGGGAGAACAAGTATTTGATACACTGCCAATTTTGCAGGTTTTCCTACTTACAAAGTATGTAGAGGTCTGTAATTTTTATCATAGGTACACTTCAATTGTGAGAGACGGAATCTAAAACAGAAATCCAGAAAATCACATTGTATGATTTTTAAGTAATTAATTTGCATTTTATTGCATGACATAAGTATTTGATACATCAGCAAAGCAGAACTTAATATTTGGCCTTTGTTTGCAATTACAGAGATCATACGTTTCCTGTAGGTCTTGACCAGGTTTGCACACACTGCAGCCGGGATTTTGGCCCACTCCTCCATACAGACCTTCTCCAGATCCTTCAGGTTTCGGGGCTGTCGCTGGGCAATACGGACTTTCAGCTCCCTCCAAAGATTTTCTATTGGGTTCAGGTCTGGAGACTGGCTAGGCCACTCCAGGACCTTGAGATGCTTCTTACGGTGCCACTCCTTAGTTGCCCTGGCTGTGTGTTTCGGGTCGTTGTCATGCTGGAAGACCCAGCCACGACCCATCCTCAATGCTCTTACTGAGGGAAGGAGGTTGTTGGCCAAGATCTCGCGATACATGGCCCCATCCATCCTGCCCTCAATATGGTGCAGTCGTCCTGTCCCCTTTGCAGAAAAGCATCCCCAAAGAATGATGTTTCCACCTCCATGCTTCACGGTTGGGATGGTGTTCTTGGGGTTGTACTCATCCTTCGTCTTCCTCCAAACACGGCGAGTGGAGTTTAGACCAAAAAGCTCTATTTTTGTCTCATTTGACCACATGACCTTCTCCCATTCCTCCTCTGGATCATCCAGATGGTCATTGGCAAACTTCAGACGGGCCTGGACATGCGCTGGCTTGAGCAGGGGGACCTTGCGTGCGCTGCAGGATTTTAATCCATGACGGCGTAGTGTGTTACTAATGGTTTTCTTTGAGACTGTGGTCCCAGCTCTCTTCAGGTCATTGACCAGGTCCTGCCATGTAGTTCTGGGCTGATCCCTCACCTTCCTCATGATCATTGATGCCCCACGAGGTGAGATCTTGCATGGAGCCCCAGACCGAGGGTGATTGACCGTCATCTTGAACTTCTTCCATTTTCTAATAATTGCGCCAACAGTTGTTGCCTTCTCACCAAGCTGCTTGCCTATTGTCCTGTAGCCCATCCCAGCCTTGTGCAGGTCTACAATTTTATCCCTGATGTCCTTACACAGCTCTCTGGTCTTGGCCATTGTGGAGAGGTTGGAGTCTGTTTGATTGAGTGTGTGGACAGGTGTCTTTTATACAGGTAACGAGTTCAAACAGGTGCAGTTAATACAGGTAATGAGTGGAGAACAGGAGGGCTTCTTAAAGAAAAACTAACAGGTCTGTGAGAACCGGAATTCTTAATGGTTGGTAGGTGATCAAATACTTATGTCATGCAATGAAATGCAAATTAATTACTTAAAAATCATACAATGTGATTTTCTGGATTTTTGTTTTAGATTCCGTCTCTCACAGTTGAAGTGTACCTATGATAAAAATTACAGACCTATACATGCTTTGTAAGTAGGAAAACCTGCAAAATCGGCAGTATCAAATACTTGTTCTCCCCACTGTACAAGCCTAACAGGAACAAGATCCCACAATACACAGTAGGCAATGGGCTACCTAAGTATGATCCCCAATCAGAGACAATGAGCGACAGCTGCCTCTGATTGGGAATCATACCCGGCCAGACATAAAAATAGAATAACTAGAACATAGAATATATAACATAGATTTCCACACCCTGACTCAACAAACAAGAGTTCTATAGGTCAGGGCGTGACAGGCCATAATGACCATCGTTATGTTTGGAGGAAAAAGGGGGTTAATTGCAAGCCGAAGAACACCATCCCAACCGTGAAGCACGGGGGTGGCAGCATCATGCTGTGGGGGTGCTTTGCTGCAGGAGGGACTGGTGCGCTTCACAAAATAGATGGCATCATGAGGAAGGAAAATTATGTGGATATATTCAACCAACATCTCAAGACATCAGTCAGGAAGTTAAAGCTTGTTCGCAAATGGGTCTTCTAAATGGACAATGACCCCAAGCATACTTCCAAAGTTGTGGCAAAATGGCTTAAGGACAACAAAGTCAAGGTATTTGAGTGGCCATCACAAAGCCCTGACCTCAATCCTATAGAAAATTTGTGGGCAGAACTAAAAAAGCGTGTGCGAGCAAGGAGGCCTACAAACCTGACTCAGTTACACCAGCTCTGTCAGGAGGAATGGGCCAAAATTCACCCAACTTATTGTGGGAAGCTTGTGGAAGGCTACCCTAAAAGTTTGACCCAAGTTAAACCATTTAAGGGCAATGCTACCAAATACTAATTGAGTGTATGTAAACTTCTGACCCACTGGGAATGTGATGAAAGTAATATAAGCTGAAATAAATAATTATCTCTACTATTATTCTGACATATCACATTCTTAAAATAAAGTGGTGATCCTAACTGACCTAAGACAGGGAATTTTTACTATGATTAAATGTCAGGAATTGTGAAAAAATTAGTTTAAATGTATTTAGCTAAGGTGTATGTAAACTTCCGACTTCAACTGTACATAATATCACCCAAAATAATATTGTAATGTGTACTGTAACTGTATAGATTTTTCCCCCAACACTACTCTCTTCCTTTCTCCCTCCCTCAGTCACCCTCCTTTCCTCTCCCCCCCATTATTCATTCCCTCACTTCCTATTTGGTCGTACGGTTGACCGGTCCGTGCATTCGTCCGTCCAGCAGGACATCCGATCGATCCCAGATAGCCATGGTTAAATCAGATTACTGCTGCACCATTTGGAGCTGCAGACACATATAAGGAAGAAAAAACAACCAGGAAAATAGAATATCAAACTATGTTACTTCCAGGGTCAGGTCTGTCAGGGGATGTCTGACTACACTGGGAGTGTGTTTTGTTAAAGCTAAATGACGTTTAGCTTGTATTATTTCCTGTCTGTTGGACACAGGTGAAGTCAGGGCTACTGCACACAGTCTCTACAGACTGACGTTCATTGTCTTGTGAATCCCACTTCAGACAAACAACAACAACTTATGAAAGCTTTATAGAGAATTCATAGTCTTTGTAGGCATACATAGATGTCTCATAAGTATTTTATAATCAATGTCATATTACATAAAGGGTCATACTACATTCCAAATCGGCCTTATTAACACTTCATTGTTTCATTTTAAGTGGGACTGGTGTCTTTTGGTGTCAGTATTCTGATAAGCTGGTTGGTTCTGTGTTGTGGGTCTGTCTGGGTGTTATGCTAGGTGTTTAGGTCTGGTTGGTTCTGTGTTGTGGGTCTGTCTGGGTGTTATGCTAGGTGTTTAGGTCTGGTTGGTTCTGTGTTGTGGGTCTGTCTGGGTGTTATGCTAGGTGTTTAGGTCTGGTTGGTTCTGTGTTGTGGGTCTGTCTGGGTGTTATGCTAGGTGTTTAGGTCTGGTTGGTTCTGTGTTGTGGGTCTGTCTGGGTGTTATGCTAGGTGTTTAGGTCTGGTTGGTTCTGTGTTGTGGGTCTGTCTGGGTGTTATGCTAGGTGTTTAGGTCTGGTTGTATTACATTTATATTTCAGTCATGTAGCAGACACTCTTATCCAGAGCCACTTGCAGTTAGTGCATTCATCTTAAGATAGCTAGGTGAGACAGCCACAGCTACAGTCGTAGTAAAAACATTTTCCCTCAATTATGAATTTATCCGAAAAGTCAGTGCTAGTAGGAAAAGATGGGAAGATGGGAAGCTGGTTCCACCATTAAGTTTCAAGTTCCTCACAGGGAAATGTCCCAACAATGCAGTGATCAATAACAATGTAATACTAAAAATAACAAGGTAGAACAAAAACACACGAGATATAAAAATAAGAAATAAGAAGAACACAATGAAGTAAGTAAGCTATATTACAGGGTCAGTTCCAGTACCATATGTACAATGTACAGGGACACTGGAGTAATAGAGGTAGATATTTTATGCATAGGGGTAAGGTGACTAGGCATCAGGATATATGATAAACAGAGTAGCAGCAGCGTATATGATGATTGTATGTCAGTGGGTGTGTGCAGAGTCAGTATAAATGTATGTGCGTATTGTGTGTGTAAGCAGATGATGGAGTGAGTGTTTGTATGTGTGTTGGAGTATCAGTGAGAAGAGCTTGGACTGGGCTGAGCGGGAGTTGACCTCCCGTAGGGGTGAGACGGCCAAGAGACCAGAGGTGGCAGAAAGAGTGCTCGGGTTGGGATATAGGGTTTGAGCATAGCCTGAAGCTAGGGAGGGACAGTTCCCCTTGTTGATCAGTATGGATGGGTGTTGTAGTTTTCAGTGAGAGGTCACACTTTGCGGTGACTGAACTGAAGCAGAGACCTCTCCTTTCCAACCTCTCCTCTCCTTTATGACTTACTATTTACTGATGTTTTTCTCCCTCTGTTCCCTTCTCTCCTTCCACTCTGTTCCCCTCCCTCCCTCCCTCCCTCCCTCCCTTCACCTCTCTTGTCCTCTTCTCTCCGCTACCCTCTGCCCTCCAGGGTCTATTTGAGAATACACTATTCAGGTGTCAGGCAGGCGATCCTAAGCCATCCATTCTGTAATCTAATGGAGTTACAGCCTGGCCTTCTTTGACCCTTAAACTGGTTGCGGTGGCGGTGGCAGGCAGGGCCATGTGTGTGTGTGGCAGGGCCGGCCAGGCTGCTGCTGTGGCATTAGTGTGACATTCTCTCCTTCTCTCCTCCTAGCACTCTGTTTGATCTCCCCACCACTCGGCAGATTCATTTCAGAGTGAAAAGCTGGATTGGACAAAGAGGGACCTTGAGTGCGGACGACTGATCGATTTACGAGAGGAAGGGAGGGGGGAGGAGGGGGGAGGAGGGGATGTGGAGGTGAGGTTTGTCTGTCTGTGTAAACGCATCTTCTAATCTGAAGCTACTACGTGGGGCAGGGCCAGGCGTCAGGGCCGGAGCCATTCACTTCACAGACTAACTAACTGGCCATGGCCTGAGGTTGGATAGAACCAGCCAGGGTCTCTCTTATTTTCAACAGAGTAAATAACTAAAGCCTAATGGGATGGATGGATGCATGGTGCTGATTCTCAATGCTGTTTTCTTCTCTTCTCTTCTCTGTTTGTCTCTCTCTTCTGCTCTGGCTGATGGAAAAACCTCCTGCTGAAAGAGAGAGAAGAGGGACAAGAGGGCTGATGGGTACTCTTCTTTTTGGTTCAGGCTTAGGTTTGAAATGAGTAGTTGTGACATGCTGTGCCCCACACCAGCAATATGACCAGAACGGTTTCTCTAAAGATATAAAGCTTCTCTTTCAGTTCCATTCACTGCAAAGATAATTATCACAGTAAAATGTCACATGGAACTCAACCACTAGCCTAACGGCTAAAAGGACTGTAGTGACTGTAAGGCCCTGGAGTGCTCTGCTGTTAATTGTGTTATTTCTGGACAGTGGAGAGATTGACCCTACTGGTGCTCTGCTCTGGCCCCTGTCATTACCTTCCCTCTTTCTCCCCCCCTCTCTGTCTCCCCACTCTGTCTCCCGCTCTCTCTCCCCCTCTCTCTCCCCTTCTCCCCCCTCTCTCCCCCTCTCTGTCCTTCTCCCCCCTCTCTTCCCCCCTCTTTCCCTCTAATTTATTCTCTCTCTCTCTCTCCATTTCTCCCTCTTTCCATCCCTCTATAACCATGACATGTTTTAATGCTTTCCTCTATTATCAGACAGCCTCTCCCTCTCTCACTCTATCACTACCTCTCTCTCCCTCTCTCCCTCTATCACCACCTCTCTCTCTCCCTCTCTCCCTCTATCACCACCTCTCTCTCTCCCTCTCTCCCTCTATCACTACCTCTCTCTCTCCCTCTCTCCCTCTATCAATACCTCTCTCTTTCTCATCTCCCTCTCTCCCTCTATCACTATCTCTCTCTTATTCTCCTCTCTCTCCTTCTCCCCCTCTCTCTCTCCCTCACGCTCGCTCTCTCTTTTTCTCTCTCTCCCTCTCTCCCTCCCTTACTACCTCTCTCACTCTTTCTCCTCTCTCGCTCTCTTTCTATCTCCATTGTTCTCCCCCCTCTCTCTCTGCCTCTGCCGCTCCCTCTCGTTCCCCCCCCACCCCCCTCTCTTTGTCCTAATCTCTCCGTAATGGATGCCAGTTAACATTAAAAGCACTAGCTCAGAAATGTGTGCTTGACCTCAGCTGCCTAATAGAGATAATGTCTGTACAGTCACAGGGAGAGAGAGAGAGAGAGAGAGAGAGAGAGAGAGAGAGAGAGAGAGAGAGAGAGAGAGAGAGAGAGAGAGAAGAGAGAGAGATAGATAAGAGAGTCTCTCTCTCTACTCTCTCTGCTCTCTAATCTCTCTCTCTCTCTCTCTCTCCTCTCTCTCTCTCTCTCTTCTCTCTCTCTCGCTCTCTCGCTCTCTCTGCCCCTGCCTTTTGTATGATAAAATGCAGAGAGATGGAGGGAGAGAGAGGAAGGGAGGAGTGCGGATCATGATTTCTTCCTTTGGTTGATAACAGCTGTGGGAATTTAGAGATAAAGCCTATTGAAAGCCACCCCCCCCCCCCCCCCCCCACACACACACACACACGCCTGTGTTCTGTTCCTCCTCACAGCATCATAGTAAAACACCTGCAAAGAGTTTCACAGACAACTAGAGCTCAGGGAATCAAGCTGTTTCATTTAGAGAAGAGGGAGGGGTGGAGGGGGAGAGAGGGATTCTAAAACCTCTTTCTGGAACCATTAGTCCTATAGAAAGCAACCCATCTTTTGAGCTGCTCACATGATGAGTAACTATGAGATTTACCCAGAGCTGATGCCTAGACCCTACAGAACTTTAGCTCAGAGGGTTAATTAGGCTAGTGAGGAATGCAGGCAGTATGAGTTTGATCCCATAGTCAGTGTCCTGGCATGGAGGAGGGTTAGTGGAAGATCTCATTAGCATATCGCCACCAGCAGCAGGAAATTAGCAGCGTTCGCTCACAGCTGTTTTAGCGTAATAAAGGATCATCTTGGTGAGAGCGCCGTGACCAGGCCTCCATCTGTCACCTGCTAACACCACTTTACCAATGTGCAGAAGGAGTTATATCCCTGCCTCTCTTTTTCTATCTTCATCTCTTGGTCTCTTTCTCTTGTTCCCCCCCTCTCCATCTTTCTCTCTGTCTCTGTCACTCTCTCCCTACCTCCCTTTCTCTCTCTCTCTCTCCTCTCCTTCTCTTGCGGTCTCCCTCCCTCCCTCCCTCCCTATCTCTCTCGCTGTCTGTTATGAGGAGGTGTGATGGAGACACAGACAGCAGCCTTGAGTCCATGCAGCTCAGTCAGTCAGTCAGTCTCATCTCAGATTGATTTTCTCTTCAGGTTTCAGATGGGCCACGCTGATGAAAAGCAACCAACATCCATCATTCTTTTAAAGTGCTCCGCTTTTAATATTGCACGCTAAAAACTAAAACTGTGTTTGTGGTGAGGAAAACATTTTAGTCATACATAGCTCCTGCTATCACTGTACTGTAGCCAGCTATACAAATGAGATAGTCGTCTAGGTAATTTGTGAGGGAGGCTTTTGTGTTGAGTGCTTATGACTGCTTGGATCCAAGAGTAGCATATCAACTGATAGAACTGCTTTGCTTTCAATGGATACTTTCACAGCATTGTCACATCTATGACGTTGCTGCTAACCACTGTTTATGGATGTTTCTATGTATGCTGTAACACAGTCACATGAAGGCTTTATAGTGAGCAATGCTTCTTCAGTGTTGTGTTGTCCTCATAAGCTCTCCTTAATGTAAGTTAGTTACTGGGCACATCTCTCAACAGCCCCCGGTCCTTCATAGGGGAGAGAGAAATTAGAAAACATTTTATTTTGGAGAGACAATAAAGCAGTGAAATGGAAAAACTGAATCCATTAAAAAATGTAATGACTTGAGAGAGTCTGTGAGCATCTGTCTGTGAGTGTCTGTTAACGTATGTTCTTTATATATATATATATTTATGGTGATTTTTCTGGCCAAAGCCAGAGGTGTAAGAACTAAGAAGTGTTGCTTTTCTGTTTAAAGAAAAAACTCTGTTAATTACAGCATTTGCTTTCTCGACAGGAGTGAAAGAGAACATATTATTTTCCATGAGAGAGACTTGGTGGTGGTTATATTTGTTGCTGTTTTTCTGATCGTCCAACAGTAAGTAGCAACAAACTGATACAGAAGCCAATTACTCCAGCTCTAGCTATCAGAAATGAGCAAGAATAGAATCAATGCCATATTGAATGAAGACTTTACCCTGTTCTATTTTTGACTAGACACGACAAACACACACTCACACGCATGCAAGCCTGCACACACACACACGCACGCACGCACACACGCACACACGCACACACGCACACACACACGCACACACGCACACACGCACGCACGCACACACACACACACACACACGCACACACGCACACACACACACACACACACACACACACACACAAACACCCTCTCTCTCTTTTTTAGTTACCAGGAGGAAGAGGACGGTAGAGGGGCAGTGGGGTGGTGAATATTAATGCTGCTGGTATTGATTGAGGACCTGTAGGGTTTGCCTTCATGTTTGTGTGTATGTGTGTGTGTAGGGTTTGTCTTCGTTTATCCATCCTGCCTCCTGCCTGCTGCCTCCATCCTGGCTGTCTTTCCAGGAGACTTTATGGAGCATCCAGTCTGAGGCTGGCTGCCTGGCTGCACATTATGAGGGCAGTATAGAAGGCCCATTAAAATGGAAACACACTGTTGTCTGCTCTGATACACAACACAGGTCAATCATGGAGACCAGACCTGGTTTGTGTCCAAAATGGCACCCTTTTCCTTATATAGTGAACTACTTTTGACCAGGGTTTGGTCAAAAGTAGTGCACTATATAGAGAATAGGGTGCCATTTTGGATGTACACCAAAGCTGTGGACTCTCACACACAAGGCCAGAGAGAGAGAGAGAGAGATTGCTACAATCCGCTATAGTGTCTTACTGTATAGCGTTATAACTGTAGTATTACCTGGAACACAGAGACATGTGATGTATGCAATCTACCTCAAACGTAATGCTGAATGAAGTTGGAAAATGTAGCCTAGTTCTTGGTGGACCCTAATCTAAGAGAGTTCTGTGAATTTGATTAGATTTTTTTTTTACTGCAGTCAGATTTCAGGTATGTGAGAGATAGTAGTGGTAGTGCTAAATTGGGTTATTTGCTCTGATAGCTAGCAGGTCTATGAGAGGGTTGTGGTGAATACTGTGTTGTGGCCCGTGGGTTGGAAAAGCACTGTATTGGAGCGTTGTGTAACCACAGCGTTCAGCATTAAGTGCCACTTATTCAGATTACTGCACTGCTCAGATAGAATCACCTGTTTTCACAACACTGAGTGGAGAGAGTGCCTGGTTTTCTCTCTCTTTTTCAGCCTGGATTTATATTGATGTTTATTCTGATGTGGGAGTTGTGATGTAGATTAGTTTTGACCTCATCGATCATCAGGCCTCAACCCAGTGTGTGTGTGTGTGTGTACATACTGTACAGATCACAGTATGCAATCCTGTATACAACCAGCATGTGCTGCATGTATACCTGCTGGTCTGTGTCTCTCTAGAAAACCTGCTTTCTTCTAGTCAAAGAGCAGATGTCAGAACCCCACCCCCCCACCCCTCTACCACACAGCTGTTCTGCATTGCCACCATGCTGTCACTGTCACAAGGTCTTAGTAGGGGCGGCAGGTAGCTTAGTGGTTAAGAGCGTTGTGCCAGTAACTGAAAGGTCGCTGGTTCTAATCCCTGAGCCAACTAGGTGAAAAATCTGTCGATGTGCCCTTGAGCAAGGCACTTAACCCTAATTTCTCCTGTAAGTCGCTCTGGATAAGAGCGTCTGCTAAATGACGTAAATGTAAATTGTAAAATGTCTTACTCACCCGTCTGACTGGTCCCTCCCCCCTCCAGGCTCCACAGTACCCACCCAGTGCCAATAAGACCCCTCTTCACTGGCTACTCCTAGACAAATCCCCTGAACTGTCTCCCTCCCTCTGTCCTGTGGTAAAGATTGGAGGGCTTGGGCTCTATCAACTATCACTGGTTGTAAGGGTGGGAGGCCAGTATGCCCTCTGGGCTCTATAGTGTTGACAGGAGGCAGGACACTACGCTCTCCCAGCCTGGATATGATGTAATCTCATGACTACTGAATATGTACAGCTGTATTTCTCTACTGCTACTGCCCTGCTATTGTTGTTCTGTCTGTTGTGGTTGGCTGGATGACACCTGGCCCGCCCCGTAATCAATTAAAGCAACGCTCCAGACGTTGACAGGCGAGAGGGAAGGCTAATTAGGATGATGAGTTCATCGTTATGAGGGTAGATGCTTTCCGTGTGTGTGTTTTTGTGTGTGAACTCGGACGGCCTGGCCCATTGTGTGGAGCTGAATGTCTGTGTATGAAGCTAATCCCTGAGTGTGTAACAGTTATTCACACCTTCAGACCTCATTAATGTGTACACTGTAAACCACTTTGTATGTTTGTGTGTGTGTGAGTGCGAGCGTGTGTATCTCAGCTCTATCCCTGTGCCAGCCAGCAATGTCCTGTATGCAGACTGCAGCACATGGAGCGAGCACTATATTTTACTGTAGTGAACACACAGGAGACATGGAGGCAGGTAGTCAATGTGTGTTGTTGTTCCAGCCAGCCAGGCAGGCAGGCTTCTCAGGTAGTTCATCTCCCTAACACTAGCTGACTCAAGACCAAGACTTGAAAGCAAGCTCACCGCCTGGCATCAAAGCTCCAATGGTCATGGGACCAAAGAGAGGTTCTCCCTTTCTTTGTTGCTTCTTCTTTGCCTTCTTTGGTTCTCTGTTTCTCTCTCTCTCTCTCTCTCTCTCTCTCTCTCTCTCTCTCTCTCTCTCTCTCTCTCCTCTCTCTCTCTCTCTCTCTCTCTCTTCTCTCCTCTTTCACACACATCACGCACGCTCACTCACACGGACGCACATACGTTCCGACGGACGCATGCACACACACACTCCTACCTCATCCCTGTCTCTCTCACTCTACTGCAGTCATGTTGATATTATCCGCAGGCTTGGGTTGTTAATGTTGTGTAACCTGAAATGGAGTTTCTCTGTCTGGAGAACAAGAAAAGATGTTGAATTGGCAATAAAATGGTCCAGAAGTGTAATTACTTGTTGAATGATTATAATTGCTTCATGTTGTCGATGACACTGCCTCTCTGACTCCCCCTCAGGGCTCTGTCTAGAAACACCCGAACAGGGAACTTGTATATTTCCTCTGTATGTTAAACACAGCTGACAGTTAACTGCTCCAAGTATTGACAAAATGTAAATCTGTCACATTCGCACAAAGCTTTTGACAAGATTTGTTAAATTATTCAGTTAGTGTATTGGATTTCTCCTTTAATCAGCGTAGGCTGGTAGTGCTGGGATAAGTAAGAAGTCTCTGTCTTCTTCCCCAGGGGTCCTGACTGGGCCACCTGGGATCTGAACCTATAACCTTCTGGTCTGGTGACTGACCCAGTAGCTGTATCGGTCTGCTACCTGTCTGTCACGTCAACATAGCAACATGTGAATGATGGATATGAACTCTGGGATATTAGGTCTAGGCTACAGGGGATCTGTACCTATAACCTTTCTGGTCTGGTGACTGACCCAGTAGCTGTGATTCCACGTCAACACAGAAACATGTGAATGATGGATATGAACTATGGGACATAGGAAGAGGGGTATACCACTGGGATGTACCTGTACTTGTAAGCCTACTTTAAACTGATTTGGGACACAGAATGGCTAAATAATAGATAATAAAGTTATGTCATATGTCAGAGAGAGAGAGAGCTAGCAACAGACATAACGAGAAACTTGTTTACCTGCACAGTCATCTGACACATTTCATGACTGATCAGGTTTTTCTGTATTTACTCCTGTGTCTTTTACAATTACATGCATGTGTGTGTTTATTGTGTACAAGATACCTTCCATATATGAAACACAGTGAAAAACCAGAGAGGAACATTTGAGACAGAAACCTGAACTGGCCTCAAAAGCCCAGCGGTAAAATCCACTCAGAAGAGAACATGTTCTCTTGGTTATGAAAAATGGAAGACAATTACATTCACCAGTCCCCTTCCCTCTAGCCTTCCCTCCATCCCTCCATCCCTCCATCCCTCCATCCCTCCTTCCCTCCTTCCCCCAATCCCACCCACACTACAGTACAGAGACATGACTGACTCTGTTCTCAGTCTATTTCAATTTGGAGGGAAATTGGTTCCTTGTTGAATTATTAATCCACGGCACTGATTCTAAATCCAGTTTTCGAATCTACTCCTTATTAAAAATGCATCATGGGACATGGTTGATTTGAATATGGTGGAGTCTGGAGACATGACATGGCAAAGGGGCCCCCCAAGTATCCCATCAGCCATTCCCATTTAGTTGTAGGGAGGGAGACTGACACAGGCCTAGGCAGAGGATGGAGGAGAAGTAGTAGTGGTGGTGGTTGTGCGCGCGTGCTTGTGTGTGTGTGTGTGTGCGCGTGTGTCTGTGAGTGCGTATGTGAGTGTGTATAAACAATATTCTAAGGTTGATAAATAGGAAACATACTTTTTATTTTCATCAAAAATTATAATCCACCAAAAGAAGCAGACATGCAGTCTTGTCTACAATGTGTCATAAACTCTTTTGTCATAATAATATTTTTAGTACCGTTTTGGTATATATAGGTACTGCCATACTGAGAGTAAAGAGAGTGGATTAGAGAGTGGAGGACTGGCTGCTTTCTTTGTGTTAGGTCCACAGGCACCTGGCCCTGTCGTTCTCCTTCTACAGTATCTGTCCTCGACTCATCAGAGCAGCACTGCTCCCCTTCTCTCTCTCTCTCTCTCTCTCTCTCTCTCTCTCTCTCTCTCTCCTCTCTCTCTCTCTCTCTCTCTCTCTCTCTCTCTCTCTCTCTCTCTCTCTCTCTCTCTCTCTCACCCCAAATGGGACTGCTGAGCCCTCAGGCTTCACTCGCTCTGATTAAAGTAAACGTTTATATTCAGACTGAATCCATAGAATGACCATCTCAAGTATGATTCACAGAGAGCATTTTCTATAGTGCTAAAACACAGTATTATTCAGCCTCCCACTGCCTGCTCCCACTGCACTACACATAGCTAAAACAGTGTTGCTTCATCTTCACACATGCTCCTCTTAGATGGTCTGTGTGTGTCTTTGGCTGTGACTGGTGTATGTGTATGTACAGTATGTCTATAGAATGTCTCCAGGAGTGTGTGTGTGTGTGTGTGTGTGTTTGTGTGTGTATGTATACATGGCTCTGCTGTGACTGCAAAGTGTGTGTGGGAGTGTGTGAGTATGTCAAAGTAGTTGTGACTGTGTAGTCTGTGTGGGAGATTGTGTCGCTTGTGTGTGTGTGTGCATGCGTGTTTGTGTGGGAGTGCACACACAGATCCCCTCCTGCTGGTGTGGGTGAGGTGCTCTACCCAGGCAGGTATTGGTGGTGGTGTGTGTGGGTGTCTTGATGGGCCCCACATTGTGGGTTTATAGGACTATGTGGGATTTAATATTACATTATATATATAAGTATTGTATGTGGGAGGCCAATAGAAGTCAAATGATCAAGTTTCACTGATAAACATCTGCACTTGCCTTAATCCTTAGTGTGTGTGTGTGTGCGTTTGGTGTGTGTGCGCGTGAGTGAGTGCGTGCCTGTGTGTGAGTGTGTATGTGTGTTCCTCTGTGCTCTGATGTTGATCTCAGTCCTCCAGAGTGTTATGTTTAACCCTCCCGTTGTCCTAGGGTCAAAATGACCCGCCACTGTGTTGAACCAACTTTATTTAATTTTTATATTTTTTGGATCATTTGTGAGAAATAGGCAGTGATACTTTCTTTAAAGTCTCACTGCCTCCTTCTCACAAATGATCCCAAAAATATAAAAATTTAATAAAGTTGGTTCAACACAGTGGCGGGTCATTTTGACCCTAGGACAATGGGAGGGTTAATAAGAGGCAGCAGTACTGCTGTGAGCTGGTGAATTAGCCCCCGTAATGTGACTGTTAAATGCCTCTTTCCTCCCGTACCCTCCGACACCCTGACACCATTAACAGCGCAGCCCCCACACATGAACACAGCCACACACAGCCACACACACACACGCACACACACACACACACACACACACACACACACACACACACACACACACACACACACACACACACACACACACACACACACACACACACACACACACACACACACACATTAACACAGACAGACACCTCCCTAAGCATAGCACAGTAGCAGAGCTCCCATCACGTATCCCCAGTACACCGCAGTCTCTGTCTTTGTCTCTGAGCTAACTGCAGCCAGAGATATAAAGCTCTCTCAAACAGAGCAATTTACTCCTAACGCATAGGACTGTTTGAATAAATAAGCTACATTATGCATAAAAGCGAAAGTGATTACCCGCTTTTAAAAAGCCCTCACTAATATTTATAGAGACTTTCTTACACCACTTTTTTTCACAGGCCTTTTAGTTATTCTGTGTAGAATTTGTTATTATTTAATATTTTCCTACTAGCAGACCTCCCAGGCTCTTTCTCTGTGGCTGAGCCAGACTGTTACTGTTTAAACATGAAACAGACTCACACATGAATACTATTTTGATCACTTATTGAATTAGACCTTTATTGTGTGTTTTACATTTAGAATCAAATCCTCTTTAGAAATGAGTTTAGTTTAATGATGCATCAGGAGTCAACAGAAATGTCCCTAGCTATACTTTGTAGGATAGGTATGTGCGTCCCAAATCACACCCTATTCTCTATAAACACTATACAGTGCATTAGGAAAGTATTCAGACGCCTTCACTTTTTCCACATTTTGTTATGTTACAGCCTTATTCTAAAATGGATGTAATATTTTTTTCCTCATCAATCTACAAACAATACCCCATAATGACAAAGTGAAAACAGGTTTTTAGATTTTTTTTCAAATGTATTACAGCCACACCCGTTGCTGACAGGTGTATAAAATTGAGCACACCGCCATGCAATCTCCATAGACAAACACTGGCAGTAGAATAGTGACTTTCAACGTGGCACCGTCATAGGTTGCCACATTTCCAACAAGTCAGTTCATCAAATTTCTGCCCTGCTCGAGCTGCCCCGGTAAACTGTAAGTGATGTTATTGTAAAGTGGAAACATCTAGGAGCAACAACAGCTCAACTACAAAGTGGTAGGCCACACAAGCTCACAGAATGTGACTGCCGAGGGCTGAAGCGTGTAGCGCGTAAAAATGGTCTGTCCTCAGTTGCAACACTCACTACCGAGATCCAAACTGCCTCTGGAAGTAACATCAGCACAATAACTGTTCGTCGGGAGCTTCATGAAATGGGTTTCTATGGCCGAGCAGCCGCACACAAGCCTAAGTTCACCATGTGCAATACCAAGCGTCGGCTGGAGTGGTGTAAAGCTCGCCGCCATTGGATTCTGGAGCATGTGGAAATGTGTTCTCTGCAGTGATGAATCACGCTTCACCATCCGGCAGTCCGATAGACAAATCTGGATTTGGGGGATGCCAGGAGAACGCTACCTGCCCAAATGCATAGTGCCAACTGTAAAGTTTGGTGGAGGAGGAATAATGGTCTAGGGTTGTTTTTCATGGTTCGGGCTAGGCCCCTTAGTTCCAGGGAAGGGAAATATTAACGCTACAGCATACAATGACATTCTAGACGATTCTGTGCTTCCAACTTTGTGGCAACAGTTTGGGAAAGGCCCTTTCCTGTTTCAGCATGACAATGCCACTGTGCACAAAGCGAGGTCCATACAGAAATGGTTTTATCGAGATCGGTGCTGAAGAACTTGACTGGCCTGCACAGAGCCCTGACCTCAACCTCATCGAACACCTTTGGGATGAATTGGAACACCGACTGCGAGCCAGGCCTAATCGCCCAACATCTGTGCCCGACCTCACTAATGCTCTTGTGGCTGAATGGAGGCAAGTCCCCGCAGAAATGTTCCAACATCTAGTGGAAAGCCTTCCCAGAAGAGTGGAGGCTGTTATAGAAGTAAAGGGGGGACCAAACTCCATATTAATGCCCATGATTTTGGAATGAGATGTTCGATGAGCAGGTGTCCACATACTTTTGGTCATGTAGTGTACTTTTCAAAAGTAGTGCACTATATAGGGTGCCATTTGTGACACAGACATAGGCTCTAGGTGCTTAAGGAGATGTCTGGTTGTAAATTGTCTAGTAGTCCCAGAGAATGTCTCTGTTCCCCATGGCGCTGAAAGGTTCCCAGTAGTGTTGTGTTGGTTAAAGCAGTGGATCCATGGTCCTGGAGTCTGTGAGGATACAGTGATGATGATATAGCAGCATGAGAGATGAAGTAACGTAGGAACTCATCTGCTGGGATGGAGCCCTTCAAGGCCTCATCACTATCCCTCAATGCAAATGAAACCATTAGCTAGCTCAACATTTCACACACACACACACACACACACACACACACACTCACACACAACCACAAACACGTGCGTACATACACGCACCGACACTGTCTTTTTCTGTCTTGGAGAAGTGCAGTGCGTTCTGAGGGCGAGATGAAAGAGTGACAGAACAGAAAAGAGAGGGAAGTGAAGATAGAAGGAAGAGGAAGGAGAGAAGTTTCAGACTGTACAGTAATGTGACTAGAGGTGACTTCTAATTCATCTGAGGAAGGGTGAGATGTGGTCAGCTTGTCATAACAGATTCCCTAGCTGTGCCCAAGGGGAGAGCTGTACTCTACCTCCTCTTCTCTCACACAGCCTTGATTCAGTTTGAAATGTATTTTAATCTATTAGCTGGTCCTTAATGTATTTCATGGTTCATCATACCTGCAGACATGTCCACTAGACCCCGGAGGGGAGGAGAAGGAGGAGAGGGAGAGAGAGAGAGAGGGAGAGAGAGAGGGAGAGAGCAGGGATCGCCGTGGTAACGGTGAATAATACCATGGCCAGAGGTCTGAGACACATCACCTTCAGATGATTATATTACCCAGAATCCCACTGTACCTATTCACTGCGCCATAGCCTGACACCACGACGGCAGCGTCACCTTAACAGCATTAATACAACAATACATTGAATTACAGAGAAAACAGCATGCTAACTAGACATCTAACAAATGGTGCAGGGGTAACTGAGGGAGCAGGAGCACGATCACACATGATCAGTAGGCCCAAACTAAATCATTACTAAACACAACATCTGATGTCTAAAACACATAGGAAATACCATTGGTGATTCATCTCAGTTAGGCAGCTATCCGTCTCTATACATGTGGCACATCTGGTGTACTCAGCTGCAGTGTGTGTGTGTGGGTGTGGGTAAGGGGTTAAACGTGTCACTACTACTCTGTCCCGGTCAGAGAATCACATGGGACAAGTTCATTACAGAGACAGCTATCCTGTTCGTTCCACCACATCCATCACCCTTTGTTCCATCTCAAAGATTCATAGGTTGCCTCCCAAATACGCACACTATGCCATATATAGTGCACTGCTTTTCACCAGAGGCCCATTCCCTATATAGTGGGCTATAGTCATAGCAGTGCACTATAAAGGGAATAGGGAGTCATTTGGGAGGCGGCCTTCAAACCTTCTGGATCCTTCCTTCCAGGAGACAAGCTCGGCCCTGCCCACCTCTCTATTCCATTTGATAAAGGTTCCGCCGTTGCCATGGAGCCCACCTGGCTGTGACCTTGCGGCTGAGCTGAGTTCATTAGTCAAAAAGCACCGACACGGACGATTCGCTTGCTCAGCCTGGCCCAGGCAGCCAATAGGGACACAAAGTCCCTCCTCGGCCTAACGAGGATGCTGCTGCCTGCATAAATAATAATAATAATAATAATAATATGCCATTTAGCAGACGCTTTTATCCAAAGCGACTTACATGGAGACATGATGGTGTTATTACTGTTGAATCATACACACACTATCACACATGCAAACAAACACATACACGCACACATACACAAGCAGGCAAGCACTCACGCAAGCAAACACACACATACACACACACACACACACACCAACACTGTGGCCAGGTTCACTATCAGTGTGTCCCTGAGAATAGCTGGAGACAAATTATTCTGCTGTTGGGAGATTTGTTTTAAAAAGTCAAGCTTCCCGTTTTCCTGTGTTATCACTATCCTTGCTGCACTGATCTCTCTCCACTAGCTCGGCTATCTCAGCTTGACATTAGAATTCAGCACACACTTGACGGTTCTCTTTTCTCCTTCCAGAAAATAGAATTTCTGTCAATTTGATTTGCTCCCCTTTTGTTTTAGCATTATCTATAATACGTGTTCTGCAGCTCTCTCCGTTCAAACACACCGTCTACAATTTCATAAAGGAAGTGGAAAATGCTCATTCTAGATTCGTTACCAAAGCCATACCTCATATCTTTACAAAAAAAGACTCCACATGTTAATTTTCCTGTTCACCTTTAAAAATATTCAAATGAATGAATTGGGTCCCGGCCGCAATTCACCGGAAAATGTATTCTGAACAAGATGACAAATGTGCTGAGAGGATGGAGGAGAGGGGGAGGAGAGGGAGAAGGAGGGGGAGAAGGAAAGGAAGGAGAGGGAGGAGGAGAGGACGGAGGAGAGGGAGGAGGAGAGGAAGGAGGAGAGGGAGGAGGAGAGGAAGGAGAGGGAGGAGGAGAGGACGGAGGAGAGGGAGGAGGAGAGGAAGGAGGAGAGGGAGGAGGAGAGGAGGAGGAAAGGAAGAAAGAGAGGGAGGAGGGGACTTCCACTTCTTCAGTGGCAGAGAAAGGCTGTTACCTCCGCCCTCTGGTTGTGAATAGGCCTGTTTTCCTCTCCTCCTTTACAGAAGAGAGATGGTTCACTCACTAAGCATTATAAACTTATTTCAGCATAACTCAGAGCACAGAGAGTCTCCTCCCTATCTCTGTGTCTAGAAGGTCTTGATGTTGTTGTTGTTGTCTTAGAGCATTACTTTGATGGCTAAATTGTTTGCTGGAGTTTTTGAGGTATACTGTAGGCTATGTGTGCCTTGGCCCAGGTCCAGTGCAGTGTGTGTGGCTCGGGTGGAGGAGAGAGAGTGTAGAGTGGGGGCATTGTACGATCTAAAAGTAATCTGACCTGAACAACCCTTTCCCCAGCATTAAAGATCTCCTATTGATCCCACTATGGCCCACATACTTTATGGACAGACTGCTACTGAAAGGAGACAGTAGGAAATGCATGCCTTAATTAATATTTTTCACAAAAAGGAAAGAGGGGGGAGGAGAGATCGGGAGGGGTAAAAGAAGAGGGAGAGAGAGTGAAAAATAGATAGAGAGAGAAAGAGGAAGACAGAGAGAGAGCGAGAAAGAAAGAAAGACAGAGAGAAAGACAGAGAGAAATAAAAGAGGCCTATCATTGGCCTAACCCTTTACTTTAACAGTTAATAGGCTGGGCTGGCGAGACGTTCGTATCTCATCAGAGCCTGGGCTGATCTCTTAAACGGACCAGGATTAGAGCACAATGCAGGGGTCAGGGGGCATCGCGTTAGAGAAATGAGAGAGAATCACGTTAAGTTGGGAAAACGCCAACCAACCCCTTCCTCCACGCGCCTGCCGGAGATAATATCGTGCATGCACTCGTCTGAGCACTGGAAAATCAATACGCCACAGACAAGTTCAAAAGAAAAGCTACTCATTAAAAAATGAAAGAGGAGAGGAGAGAGAGAGCAGTACTTAGTGCGCTGCTTGGAGAATTGGTCCAATGTGAGTGAGTTAAACAGAAGGGATTGTTATCATTGTTAAGCAAATAGGAGAGGAGAGGAGAGGAGAGGAGAGGAGAGGAGAGGAGAGGAGAGGAGAGGAGAGGAGAGGAGAGGAGAGGAGAGGAGAGGAGAGGAGAGGAGAGGAGAGGAGAGGAGAGGAGAGGAGAGGAGAGATGGAAAAAGTGAGATATAATAAGATTGACTCTCTCTGCTCTATTAACAAACTGTATCCTCTCCTAAGATAGATGAGAAACAGAGAGAGAGAGCAGAGTAGTATCCCCCTCACATCAGCCCAATGCTCACCTCAACAGATGGGGAATTAACTGTTGATGTAGAAAATAGCATTTAGATGTGTGTGAAACAAGAGAGAGAGGTTGTGTTTGTGTGCTTGTGTGTGCTTGTGTGTGTCATTTTTAGGTTGTCCTCTACTGTATGATTGTCCTGTATGGGATCTTGGGTGGTGTTGAAGCATGTGTGTGTGTAACGTGTGTGTGTGTGTGTCTCTGTGTGTACGGCTCTGTACTACTCAGATGTGTTCCTGTGTGTGACTATGGGGTATGAGTCACGGTTAGTATTGAGTCTTTGTTAACTGTGTTAGAACCGAGGCAAGCTATTCCTTTACAGAACATTGTCTCTGGATATTGTCCAGAAACCATACCTGTAAACGTTCTGAGTGAACCTGAAATGTGGTTTTCTGAATCTGGAATTCATTGAATTTGGGTCATAGTCTGAGCTATGGCACCATTCTCCCCAGTTACAGGGTACAACATCTGTACAGGTTTCTTGTGGTGATCTTGTGACTCTATGTCACGCCCTGACTCAGGGGATGCTTATATGTTGAGTCAGGGTGTGTATATTCCTTGTTGTGCTTTTTCTATGTGGCTTGTCTAGTATGTATAGTTCTATGTTGGCCGGTGTGGTTCCCAATCAGAGACAACGAGCGACAGCTGCCTCTGATTGGGACCATACTTAGGCAGCCTATTGGCACTGTCTAGTTGTGGGATCTTGTTCCGGGTAAGGTTTGTTGTGTGTTAAACCTTAGGACTTCACGTTTCGTTCGTTTGTTTATTGTTTTGTTGTGTATTTATTCAGTTTTAATAAACATGTACGCATATCACGCTGCGCCTTGGTCTGACCCGTCCTTCAACGAGCGTGACACTCTCATTCTTTACTGGGCACTAAAGGGCCGAACAGGGTTGGGGCGAATACCATTTCAATTCAGTCAATTCAGGAAGTAAATTCCAATTCCAATTAATGATACATATCTATGTGACTTCCGTCACAAGGACACATTCATACTGTATGTCTTATGACATGGGTCACAGGCTTGTAGGGGCTTGTATAGTGTGGAGGAGTTTTCCAGGCAGGAGTGATGTGACCAGTACTACACTGTAGAATAGATCCATAGATACTGGGTTGTAAGCTACTTTCCCTGAGTCCCTCTCTTGCTCTCAAAGACCTTGATCTCTCTCTCTCTCTCTCTCTCTCTCTCTCTCAATGTCGTCTATCTACATCAGGGGAATCATTGACATTTCCAGCTGTGTGAGTGGTTCACAATAGCTCCGGTGCTGAGGAGAGGCTGACATTTGTGGGTCTGGGAGTGCTTGACAATGGCTATGATGCACTGACATTTGGGAAAGTGTCCAGCAGAGTACTCAACGCTGTTCTATCTTTCTATCAACCAAAAAAAAGAAAAGAGATGGAACACTACATCATTTTCCATGTTAACATTATATTAATCTAACATCAACCATTTATCATGGTATATTTAAGAAAGACAAAGAAAAGAAGGAGAGAGAGAGAGAGATAATTAGAGGGAGATAATGTGGAGGGAAGAGGGCTTAGGTAGATAGATACAGTAGAAAATGAGATAAATAGAGTGAGGGAGACAGAAAAAGATTTGAATAAAGGATAGACCTGGTACCATCAATTCCACTGTTCTGTTATAAGTCTCTGGTGGCTTTCAGTCAGTCAGTGCTACATCTTCAATTCTGCACCTCAGACAGACAGACAGACAGGCAGGCAGACAGACTGGCAGACAGACAGGCAGACAGACAGGCACACAGGCACACAGACAGACAGGCAGGCACACAGACAGACAGACAGACAGACAGACAGATAAACAGACAGACAGACAGACAGACAGGCAGACAGACAGACAGACAGGCACACAGGCAGACAGACAGGCAGGCAGGCACACAGGCAGACATATCCCCATAGTACACACAGTACACAACTGTTCTGCTGTTGATCTTGTTCAAGACAAAAAGGAACAAATTGTTCCGAACACAGAGATCAGAGAAAATAACAGATAAATAGCAAAGGATTTCAGATTTTTAGGGCACAGTCGTTGTACAGGCATTTAAAAATTACAGCAGTCCCTCTCCTGGTGATAGTATTGTTTCCTCTTCCTCTGTAAGGATATATTTCTTAGATTCATTGTTTTAGAACAAGATCTACATTTATGCCTGAAAATAATAAAAATGTTTCCTTTGCAGTGTAACTACCTCAGGTGTGTGAGACAGTTCAGTTCCACAGGCCTCCCTGCCTCCCTCCCTCCCTCCCTCCCTCCCTCTCTGTTACACCCCAGCTGTGATAAAGATGGAACATGCTCTGGGAGCGCGTCATGCTACACTTCTCGTTCTGCTGCACTGCTATTCTGACACTGATGGCCATCAAACTGTCAACGTCGGAGGGAGACGGAAAGGACGTGGATGTGTGTGTGTGTGTAGTGGTCTACCTTATTTTTCCCCATAAATAATTTTCACTCCACCAAAATGAGCAATGAACTGAAGCTGGATTTCCTATTAATTTCCCCTCTGTGTTTTTTCTCTGAGAGGATATTGAGATAGATGATGTTTCACCTTTACTCTGGTTGGCCTGTCATGACCAGTCTGAGAGGAGAGTGGCGTTAGGCGTTTCCTGGTTTTCGGTCACAGCCCTGAGTGTGTGTGAGGATTAGACAGGCTCTTTATTCAAGTCACTGAGAGGGATCAGGCTGAAAGACACATGGGCACAGCAACTCACTCACTGGAAGACCTTCACGTTTAACGTTCTCCTGTTGGTAAACCAGTAATGTTAATCAGATCCAGGTGTTTCTCTGCCCTTTTACTTCTTCTACCATTTGACCTCAGCAGAAAGAGTTTGTTGGCAATTTGCCATGCAGTCCTTTACTGTTAGAAGCCTCTCCTGTGACACTGTGGGGTAGTTCTGCATATTTGCCAGAACCCTTTTTGTTATCATTCATGAGCACATTTGCTAAGCTGTAAAAAGTCCAGTGTTGCAACTCGTGATAACATCAACGTGAGTCAGAAACCAAACACACACTCACACACACACACACACACACATATGTTAATTCCCCCTGTCTCTGTCACTGTATCTTTGAACTATGTGTGTTGTGCAGAGCTTTAAAGCCTGTAGTCTTGTTGAGTCCCTCAGCTCAACGTGTGGAGGGCCCCACAGCCCAGAAGCAGCAAGCGTTGGGCGGCTATAGTCACTATTTTAGCAAACCAAACATTATTAATGCTACCAATTGACTGGATTACTGAGCGCATTCATCAAAGATAGCCTCTCCGGCTCGCCGCAGCCCGACAGGCACACACACGCTTGCCAAGATAGCAGCAAGTGTAGCAATTGATTTCAGACCGGCAGAAGGCAGAATCAGAGTATTAAAAAAAGAAAACAGACTACTTTTAAATGGAGTGTGTTTTTATTTCTCACGAGTTCAACCAAACAAAAGGAAATTAAATGTTGCTTAAAATTAATGTACTGATGGTGATGCATTCATTTTATCCTCAACTGGACAAAGCTGAGCTTTTATAGGTAAAACTGATTTAAAAAACAAGCTTTGGTACAGAAGAGTATCAAAACTCTGAAATTATATGGCACCCTATCCCCCATCTAGTATACTACTTTTGATCAGAGCCCTATGGAAATAGGGTGTTGGTATAGGGATTAGTGTGCTAATTCAGACTCACTTATTGAGGGTGATTGAGGCTTAGTCGATTCTAAGCCTTCAGTGAGACTCAGGTAATCAGGTCTAGACTTATTTCTTATTACAATGCTAATGCACTTATTCTTATAGCAACTTTTTGGTTGTGTCGGTTTAACATTCTGGTCACCCTAAACTTGCATGATAAGCACTATCTATCTTCTCCCTGTACACAGCCTGTGCCTTTGTCATAATTGTATTTGGCTGCAGGCACACTCAGCGGGGTCTCAGAAAACCGGCAACATCCAGTTTTCAGGGCTACAGTATCTTCAACCTAGCTTCCTTTTCCCCTGAAAACCGGATGTGGGGACCACGCTCAGGTGTTTATTTTACGCCTGCTACATTAGGTTAGGCTGCAGGAGATGGCTGGCTTTGACAGAGCCCGTTGATTGTAAACTGAACAAAAATATAAACGCAACATGTGTTGGTCCCATGTTTCATGAACTGAAATAAAAGAAATTGTGTGCACAAATTTGTTTATATACCTGTTAATGAGCATTTCTCCTTTGCCAAGATAATGCATCCACCTGACAGGTGTGGCATATCAAGAAGCTGTTTAAACTGCATGATCATTACACAAGTGGACCTTGTACTTGGGACAAAAAAAGGCCACAATAAATTGTGCGGTTTTGTCACACAACACAATGCCACAGATGTCTTAAGTTTTGAGGGAGCGTGCAATTGGCATGCTGACTACAGGAATGTCCACCAGAGTTGTTGCCAGAGAATTGAATGTTCATTTCTCTACCATTAGCCATCTTCAGCGTCGTTTTAGAGGTAGTATGTCCAACCGGCCTGACAACCGCAGACCACGAAAATGGCGTCGTGTGGGCGAGCGGTTTGCTGATGTCAACGAGTGTCCCATGGTGGCGGTGGGGTTATGGTATGGGCAGGCATAAACTACAGACAACGAACAAAATTCCATATTTTCTATAGCAATTTGAATGCACAGATATACCGGGATGAGATCCCATTGTTGTGTCATTCATCCTCTGCCATCACCTCATGTTTCAGCATGATAATGCACAGCCCCATGTCGCAAGGATCTATACACAATTCCTGGAAGCTGAAAATGTCCCAGTTCTTCCATGGCCTGTATACTCACCAGACATTTAAAAATATATATATTTTACCTTTATTTAACTAGGCAAGTCAGTTAAGAACAAATTCTTATTTACAATGACGGTCTACTACCGGCCAAACCCGGACGACGCTGGGCCAATTGTGCGCCGCCCTATGGGACTCCCAATCACAACCGGTTGTGATACAGCCTGGAATCGAACCAGGGGGTCTGTAGTGACACCTCAAGCACTGAGATGCAGTAACTTAGACCACTGCGCCACTCAGGAGCATGTTTGGGATGCTCTGGATCGACATGTTCGACAGTTTGTTCTAGTTCCCGCCAATATCCAGCAACTTCAAACAGTGATTGAAGAGGAGGGGGACAACATTCAACAGGCCACAATCAACAGCCTGATCAACTCTATGAAGAAGATGTGTCGCACTGCATGAGGCAAATAGTGGTCTGATCTACCTTTTTTTTAAGGTATCTGTGACCAACAGATGCATATCTGTATTCCCAATCATGTGAAATCCATAGATTAGGGTCTAATGAATTTATTTCAATTGACTAATTTCCTTATATGAACTGCAACTCTGTCAAATCTTTGAAATTGTTGCATGTTTATATTTTTGTTCAGTATACAGTATTTTGACATTCCAAAGTAGTATCAGTTTGGCCCAAGGTTAAGACTGACTTACTCTACAGGAGTTGATGCATCTCTTCTAAAGGAAACATAAAAGGTGCAGACCAGAGGAAGCTGGTGGGAGGAGCTATAGGAGGACAGGCTCATTGTAATGGCTGGAATGGAATTAATAGAACAGAGTCAAAAGTGGTTTCCACGTTTGATGTGTTTGATACCATTCAATTTAATCCATTCCAGCCATTACAATGAACCTGTCTACCTATAGCTCCTCCTAACAGCCTCCAGACTCCTCTGGTGCAGACTCATTGTGAAGCAGGAATTATATTACCAATATTTGGTTAGAGGCAACTCAATGACAATATTGATCAGCTTTTGGAGAACTCAGTGGTTTCCTATCAAAGCTGATTGATCAGCTAAGAAATATGAATTTCACTATCATTCATCTCTATTTGGTTTTCATATTGCAGCAAGAGAATGATGATTTCTCCTTTGTCCACATGTCTGTCAGTATGCTGCCTTATGATGTGGCCGAACATACTTACTGAGATTTAAATTAGGCTATACACTCCCTTCTTGGCACAGAAAGATGTGGATAGTGTGATAACATTGATCGTGGCGCTGGTAGATTAATAATTCAGGGATGCTGAAGACCCCATTGATCATTAATTAGGGGTGTTAATAGTGATGGGTTTTGATGGATGTATGGGCTGAGGAAGACCCAGTAGTCTGATCACAGAACACATGTCACCAGCTGAGAGGGACAGGGCATTATCCAGTGCCCACACTGATCCATTCATCAAGAGTCTCAGAGCAGGAGTGTTTATCTAGGATCAGGTCCCCCCTATCCATGTAATCTTATTTATTGTGATCTAGCCTAAACTGATCTTGAATAAGCACTCTTAGATGCTTGGTACATACGCCCCCTTGGCTTCAGAGTTACCATGGGTAGGTCTACAATAACATGGTGCCAACAGCAGCAGGATACAGCCTTCAGTTGTGGCCACTCAAACCACGGTACATGTTTTTTTGTGACAAACTATAGCTTGAGGTTTTGGTTTGTGATCTGTTCTGGGACAGAGCTCAAGAAGATCTGTTTGGCTAGGTTGGGCCACACGGCTCTGTAAACTCTCTGTGATTGGTCGGAGTAGCCTAGTTGTGTTGACTGCAGCACTGTGGTTAGTTTGTGTCTGTTAATGTGATTTCCCCAGATTGATGAAGTGTTGATGTAATTCTCTCCTGACTGATTGCTGTTTTGGGACCTGTGCTGAACCGGTCTTTATAGCGTATGGAGGGGATATCCCTCTTGGTTCAATACGCACACACACACACACACACACAGCCAATACACCAGCCTCAGATAATCTCCCATACCCCCTCTACCTTCCACCATATGCTCGTGTCCATGTCGCCAACGGTGTCTCAAAGCCCATGACCCTTTGTGACCTCTGACTTGAGAGTTTTGGGGATCAATATTATGGTGATTTTGCTCCTATTTCTTCTACATCAGGTATTATGAAAGCTATCACCTCTGTAATGGATATCAGATCTCTGCCTGCTGTAAGCTCTGTGGATCTGTGGCTTATAGTGTCAAAGCAAATAACCTTACAAGCCACCAGTCAGCAGGGGGACTAGCTACTCCCTGGGTGGACCTCAATATATCACTGTTATTATCTGGATGTGAAAATGTTAGCCCCACCTGTTCTCCTGTCTACCCCTTCACTGCTGACCACACCCTCTTACATTCACCTCCACAATCTCATTTAGACTAGCTTCCTCATTGTCATATTCACACTACACACACACCTGTACCTATCCATACACTCATTCTCCCTTGTAACCATATTATACCATTCATATTCAACTTCATAGTGTTAACCTTTCACCCACCTATACCATACCTATACCACTTAATTCAATTCATCAGTATGTATGGTTCTCATACATTGACCTTCAGTTCAATCTGCTTTCTACATTGCTCATATTTTTCATGTCAATGCATACTTATCGTAACCTATAGTACAAAGGAGTTACACATTACACATATTCATATTCATCCACCTACTCCCTCCGTCATGTCTTCGCATTAATCTGTCCAGTCTGATTCATCTTCTTCTTTCACATTCACATGGTCGGTCAGTCGTTTAGTCGTTCACTCGCTTCTCTTCTCTCCTCTTTCTTTCATTTGAGCCACAGAGACATTCTCTTCTCAGCAAGACACGGTGCTTCTGTCATGTGAACGGACCGATTCCGAACGCTCAGGCTTCCAATTATAGTACATCCCGATTAACTGATGCTTATTAATTCCTTCCAACTCATTATGGCATGCAAAATAGAGCTCTCCCACGAGAAGAATACTAATGAGAGAGAGGAGAGAAACCTTTTCTGAGTCGTGTCTTGTTGCTGCTTCTGCAAGTGGCCCGGTCCTCTGTTTAGTTACTGCTTTTGGAGTTCTACAGTAGGAGTAAATAAACCATAGCATTTACTGACAGCTTCCTCTGACAGACAGACAGACAGACTGTGAGCCAACGGGGCAGGCCAAGGGGCTAACCCAAACAAAACACTTCAATCTCCTGCCGTTGTGCTCCAGCGCTCCCCAAGGGCTTGATTGATTGATCCGCCGGCCAATCAGGGCACATTGATCTAAGAGTTCCACCCCCTCCCCTCCCAAGCCTCTCCGGCAGCCATTCATCTGCTGGCTGTCAGATGAATTCACCGGAGGGCCGTTGGCTATACAGCCGGCACTTTTAAACATACTTTCCACTCCAGACTTTCTGAAGAGAGTGCATCACTCTACAGTACATAACAGGAGTTTCTCTTACAGTAGTACATCCCCCTGGATCAGATTCCTGTTGGAAACTGTCCAAGCCTTAAAGTGTCTGAAAGCTTTTGCTTCAATCATGTGTCAGTGTTAAAAGTAACCCCATAGCCTGAGTAAAAAATTACCCCCAGCTGATGTGATGTGCAAATTATCAGCCTCATTTTCATTGTATCGATGGACTTGATGGAATTACTGTATATTTTCAATATATTTTCTATATCTTGTGAATTGTATTTGACTAACCTTTCTATTTAAATTAGGAGATTGTTGAATTATGAGTACAAGACAGAACAGCATAATCACACACAAGTATGTATGCAACTAGAAATGAGTCAAGAACAATCCTCTCTCAACATTAAATCTGATTTTATTAACCACTTCGTTCAATTACTGTACTAACCAACTGTCTGTTGTCTATCTGTTTGTTTTCAGGAGGAATATTCGAGTCCATTGAGTCGGGGCCGTCAGGTGCTGAGGAACTAGCCTTTAAATTTGCTTTAAACACAATCAACAGGAACAGAACCCTACTGCCAAACACAACGCTAACATATGACATCCAACGGATAAACATCTACGACAGCTTCGAAGCCTCCAGAAAAGGTCAAGTATTATGAATACAATTCAGAAGGCTACATTCACACCCACATGCTGTAGATTCATCACTGGTGCTGGTCCCCTGAACAATATTCATAGAACAAGTGGTCACATTTAAAAATATTGATCTGACGTTTGCTTGCTATTTGTGTGACTCTCCTATCCTGTTTAGTATTGTTTGTGTGTTCCCACCCACCCAGTGAAAGTGGGCTCATGCGTAGTTCATTGGTTGGATTGGGACAATTATAATCAGGCATAGAGAGAGGATGGTTGCATCCCAAATAGCACCCTATTCCCTTTAGGCTTTATAGTGCACTACTTTTGATCAGGGCCCATAGGGCTCTGCTGAAAAGTATTACCCTATATGAGAATAGGGTGCTATTTGGGATGCATCTGATGTCTGTGCAGTTGTAAACTGCAAACCGAGACAATTGATTGGCTTCTGCTAAGGACTCAGCAGTAATACTAATTCACAGATGTGGTTATCTCCCTGGAGACAGGTTTATAAACTGCAATAATCTATCGTTTTACTGAGTTGCATTAGGCCTGACATTTCAAAGGCTGCATCTAAAATGGCACCCTTTTTCCGATAAAGTGCACTATTTTTGTCCAGGGCCCATAGGACTGCCCCATAAGGGTCTGTTCAAAAGTAGAACACTATAGGGAAAACGGTGGTTTTTCATACGCATCCAAAGTGTCTTATCGATTACTGGCCATTATATCATTTTTCTGTGATTGAAGCGTTTTCTCCTTTTATCAAATTAAGTAATTTGAATGCACAATGTTGTTGTTACAAACTGTTGCCAACCTTTTCATATATTATGGAGGCATACAGTGTATAGATCTTGCTCATACATTTTACACTGTCACTGGCTTCCTTTCAAATATGCTTCATGATGGTCATTCAAAATCATACGAACGGACAGCTTGCCATAGTGGAGTGGGAAATCAATTACTTATCCTCCAGTAACTAACATTAGCATGTCATATAATACTGAATAAACCACGGAATAAAGGATGTAACTGAACGTTGTCTCCTCAGCCTGCGACCAACTATCTCTGGGGGTGGCGGCCATCTTTGGCCCCTCCCACAGCTCGTCGGCTAATGCGGTCCAGTCCATCTGTAACGCGCTTGGCGTGCCCCACATCCAGACCAAATGGAAGCACCAGGTGTCTGACAACAGGGACTCCTTCTACGTCAGCCTCTACCCAGACTTCTCCTCTCTCAGCCGGGCCATTCTGGACCTGGTTCACTTCTTCAAGTGGAAGACGGTCACCGTTGTCTATGATGACAGCACAGGTAAGACCCCTGGCCACTTACCTCACATCTTCATGGTCAATGACGACAACACAGCAAGGTCACTTCCTGTCTGTCCACCCACTGTACTTCACAGCATAGAAATATAATGAATAGAACAGGCTTGGAACCACCTCATTGTAGTTCTCTGACTCATACCTTCACATTCACAGTGGTCTATGACCACAGAACAGGTTCAGTCACAGTGGTCTATGACCACAGAACAGGTTCAGTCACTGATCACTTATTGTACTGTACCTCACACCTTCCATCACCCCTACTTTTTCTCACAGTGATTCAAACAGCTTAGAGAGTTAGACAGAGCATGGTTCTGGCCTGGCATCATAAGGGTTGTGGGTTCCATACCCGGATGGGACACATATACTAAATATATGTCCATCATTGTTGACAGTTCTGTAAGTCCCTTTGGATAAAGGAATCTGCTAAATGATCATATCAAAAGACCCAAAAGGCTTGTCCACCTTCAACGAGGGTAGGTGTGAGGTAAGTCTAAAATATAGACTATGATAATAGTCCTGTACAGTAGAGTAGCCCTGTAGCCCTACCCCCCCATTCGTCCCCAGATGGCCAGTGTTCCAGTGTTAAAACAGCAGGCAGCAAACGTCTCAGCGGGCAGGGTACATGTGCCATATGCCAGGGGTCGAGGAAGGAGCCAGCCTCAGGACAAGATGAGTGTGTGTGTGTGTGTGTGTGTGTGTGTCCAGGCTCAACACATGCTTTCAGAAACACACTGGGGCTCCATTGGCCAGTATTTTATCACTTAACCCATTTTGCTTTCGATTTAATTCAGTTGAAATCTATTTCCCAAAAAACTACAACAGAAAACCAGAGAAGAATGTCCAAAACAACTACGTTTTTTGGACAAATTAAAGGTTACAGGCTTCAATATGTTCATCCTGTAGCTAATAATTCATATTTTAGATATTGAGAAAGGCATTGCATTGAAATGAAGGTTATGTACAGTAGGCTTTTCAATAAACCAATATGTGTGTGTGTGTGTGTGTGTGTGTGTGTGTGTGTGTGTGTGTGTGTGTGTGTGTGTGTGTGTGTGTGTGTGTGTGTGTGTGTGTGCCTGTGTGTGTGTGTGTGTGTGTGTGTGTGTGTGGTGTGTGTGTGTTAGGGTTGAATGGCGGGAACCGAGATTTACTGGGATTTACCGCCCAAAACCACTCCCTTTTCCCTTGTTAAATAACTGCGAGAAACCTGTAAATTTTATTAAATTATTTATATGAACAGCATGGCGTAAAATGGAACTGTTAAATTATGTGCGATGTCTAAATCTGGCTTCTCTGCTGCCTCTGCATGATGAATCAATGCTCAGGGTGGGGACAGACAGCCCATCTCAGTATGGAGATCAGTTCACAATGCATGTAGACCTATCATCTCGATATGGTAACTTATTTTCTTGTGACAGGTACTGTAGGCCTACATTTGCTGGAGCATAGTCTATGCTACAGTAATATGTAGACCGAATGGGTCACCTTGTTTTTTAATTGTAAAGATATTTGTCTTTATTGCAGCTGCAGAGTTTTAAAATAGCCTATCACTCGAATACTGTTGCTTTAAATCAGTGCATGCGCGAGTACTCTCGCAGTCTTTCTCTCTCTCCATCAACTCCATTCAAATTGCATCCAAAATAGAGCATCCTGTTCTAGATTGATATATAGCCCTATATATAGATGCCCTAGCCTACCTCTTTCAGGTAATACATTCAATACAGTATTAGCCTTATATTTAGCTCATTAATGATGGGTGCTGCGTAATAAGCTTCTAACTTATAGCCTTTTCTTTTGCGCATGCGTGATGGCGGTAGGCTATAGCAATTATTTAATCAGACCCATAACCATTCAATCTTCGTGAAGAGAAGTGAAAGCCTTTTGCAAAATATTTTTTATTGTGAAACAAACAAGAAATAAGAAAAAAATACACATTTTGCAGCAATTTCAGCTGCAAGTCTCTTGGGGTATGTCTCTATAAGCTTGGCACATCTAGCCACTGGGATTTTTGCCCGTTCTTCAAGGCAAAACTGCTCCAGCTCCTTCAAGTTGGATGGGTTCCGCTAGTGTACAGCAATCTTCAAGTCATACCACAGATTCTCAATTGGATTGAGGTCTGGGCTTTGACTAAGCCATTCCAAGACATTTAAATGTTTCCCCTTAAACCACTCAAGTGTTGCTTTAGCAGTATGCTTAGGGTTATTGTTCTGCTGGAAGGTGAACCTCCGTCCCAGTCTCAAATCTCTGGAAGACTGAAACAGGTTTCCCTCAAGAATTCCCTGTATTTAGCACCATCCATCATTCCTTCAATTCTGACCAGTTTCCCAGTCCCTGCCGATGAAAAACATCCCCACAGCATGATGCTGCCACCACCATGCTTCACTGTGGGGATGGTGTCCTTGGGGTGATGAGAGGTGTTGGGTTTGCGCCAGACATAGCGTTTTCCTTGATGGCCAAAAAGCTCAATTTTAGTCTCATCTGACCAGAGTACCTTCTTCCATATGTTTGGGGAGTCTCCCACATGCCTTTTGGCGAACACCAAACGCTTATTTTTTTCTTTAAGCAATGGCTTTTTTCTGGACACTCCTCCCTAAAGCCCAGCTCTGTGGAGTGTATGGCTTAAAGTGGTTCTATGGACATCTCCGCTGTGGAGCTTTGCAGCTCCTTCAGGGTTATCTTTGGTCTCTTAGTTGCCTCTCTGATGAATGCCCTCCTTGCCTGGTCCATGAGTATTGGTGGGTGGCCCTCTCTTGGCAGGTTTGTTGTGGTGCCATATTCTTTCAATTTTTTAATAATGGATTTAATGGTGCTCTGTGGGATGTTCAAAGTTTCGGATATTTTTTTATAACCCAACCCAATCCTGTACTTCTCCACAACTTTGTCCCTGACCTGTTTGGAGAGCTCCTTGGTCTTCATGGTGCCGCTTTCTTGGTGGTGCCCCTTGCTTAGTGGTGTTGCAGACTCTAGGGCCTTTCAGAACAGGTGTATATATACTGAGATCATGTGACAGATCATGTGACACTTAGATTGCATACAGGTGGACTTTATTTAACTAATTATGTGACTTCTGAAGGTAATTGTTTGCACCAGATCTTATTTAGGGGATTCATAGGAAAGGGGGTGAATACATATGCATGCACCACTTTTCCGTTATTTATTTCTTTAGAATCTTTTTAACTAAGTTATTTTTTTAATTTCACTTCACCAATTTGGACTATTTTGTGTATGTCCATTACATGAAATCCAAATAAAAATCCATTTAAATTACAGGTTGTAATGCAACAAAATAGGAAAAAGGCACCGTAATACACTGTAATACAATACAGTACAGTAATACAGTTCACACTCAAAAAGATTAGCCTACTGGAGCTAGTGTCGGTTATTTACCCAAGAGAGCATATAGCTAGTTACATCTATGGGGTTTTATGTTTTTCTGTTGTGCGTAATGTGCTGTAGCCTATATCATATATGTATTGGATAATGGCACAATCATTTGGGCTTTTTTGAGCTTGGGCTCATTAAATGTCGTTAATGTATGGCTCATAAAATGTATTTAATATATGGCTCATCAGGCTCAGGTAGCATCGGGTTAGAATTTTCATACTGATCAAAGCTCCAATCAAATCCAGACATATTTATATGCTTTATAATGCTTTTGAATGACACTTCCGGGTTACCCGGGAGAAAAGTGATTTATTCTCGGAATGTAACATTTGTAAAATCGGGGAAAATATTCAACCCTAGTGTATGTGTGTGTGTGTTTGTAGGCTCGGCCCCGATTTGTGCTCTCTGTCACCTGGAGCTGCATGGCAAATGGTCCAGGAACACAAAGAAAGCACAAAGGACAATGCCAAAGGACTAGTCAGCCCTTCCCCCTCTGAGGGGCCAAAATGTATCTCTCTGTTACAGTATCCAGAGGACTGACTATTGAATGTGTGATAGAATAATACTATGTTATCCATGTCTGGTATCTATCTGAAACTTGTCCCCTAAAGAAGACTCTGAAGCTATATGCATGTGGTAACTTGTATCTCTTTACAGGGTGAACTCTAAATTATTCTATGCAAAGGATTTATGGTCCTCTCAGGAATTCTGTTTCTATTTACATTGTTCTCATCCCCCACACAAGCCATTAAATACTGTGACACCCTGTGGAGATTGGGTCTTGGTGGTCAGCTTGCACTGTAAACTTGGTATCGTTTGATTGGTCAATGGTGGTTGGTTTTGAGTTGAAAGAGTTATACCTTCAGATGTTATCAATGGAATAAAATGCCTTTGTTCTCTCTCTTATCCTGTATCCATGGAGGAAGGTTGTATGATACATTCTCATATCCTAGGCTTCTATGCCTCTGTCCTAATGGACATCTCTTTGTTCATGCTTTGTCTTCTATGTTTACTTTAGGATCTATATGCCTAGAAATATGCTTTGTTAATGTCAGTATTGCCTTGTAACTTAAGCTTTATGCCTTTTATATGAATCCATTAATTGTACAATGTTAATTAAATATCTGCCTTTTATAACGTGTCCGCTGGGAGTCGGAAACCAAGTACAGGGAGTGAATTTAATAATAAAAGAACATGGAACAAAACAAGAAACACGAGTAGCGTCTTTCTTTATTTTTTACTATTTTCTACATTGTAGAATAATAGTGAAGACATCAAAACTATGAAATAACACATATGGAATCATGTAGTAACCAAAAAAGTGTTAAACAAATTAAAATATTTGTTAAACAAATCAAAATATACAGCATTGCACACTTTCTTTTAGGGGGTAGATCAGCTTTAATATTGCAGATAGATGTAATTGTCTGCATCACTTCCAATCCCCCATATGTTATTTTTCTTCTCGCAAATATATACATATATATATATATATATATATATATATATATATATATATATATATATATATATACATATATATATATATATATACATACACATACATATACCCATACATACATATAAATACATACATATATATATACATATCCTTTAAAAATATATATTTCCCTTTTTTTACTTTCCAACACCACCAGCCCTTCCCTAGTTGGAGTAAACTACAACAATGCTTAGTCCTTATACATACTATATACATTTTATGGACACAGTCAATTTTACAATAATTATATTTTGTTTGTTTTTACTCCTGGACTTCCTCTACCCTCAACCTCTCCGATAATTTTCATGATGTCCATCCGGTTTGCTTCTATATGCCATATCTTTCTAACTGTGCTCTTTCACAAAAGCTCTCAACCTATAACCTATATACTTATTATGGACACAGTATGTATTACATTAGTTATCTTGTTGTTATTAGTCCCATCCTTCAACTCCATTCAACACCACCCATCTATCTCTTAACACCATCCATATTGGATTTCTATTACCATATATTCTTAACTGTACTGTGATGTTTTACAAAAGTTCTGAACCCTTCTATTCTCAATATTTCTACAGATTGTGAATTGAAAATAAACATTTTTGCTAAAAGTATTATTATATTATTGATCGAATGACTATGACTTTTCAGATCATCCAGTAGTGCTATCTGCAGGATTAGCTCCAGGTAAATATTGCAATCCTTTAGCCATTCCTGGACCTGTGTCCAAAAACAAGCTACAAATGGACAGTACCAAAACAAATTATCTAATTATTCTGTCTATTCGCAGCAAAATCTGCAGAGCTGGGAAGATTGTATCTCCCATATAAATAACATTCTATTGGTAGCAAGAATTTTGTATAATAATTTAAATTGAATCCGCCGTTGTTTTGCGTATCAGTTCATAAACACTATGCCATGGAATCGGTACGTCAAAAATCTCTTCCCAACTATTTTGCAATCTATATGGGACGGCTGTCAATCCTTTGGTCCTTAAATGAAACTGGTATACTTGTTTATTTATCACAATTATCTTTAACCAATTATGTTCTTTAATGCAGGGCCGACAGACAAGTTCCTTACCTTTTCCCCCTTCCACTTTCCTCTTCCATTTTTGCGGTAATGCTGCAATTATTTGGTTGTAATTTTGGGTAGAGCAGACATTTCCATATGTTTTTGTTAGCTGCATGTGCGACATAACTCCACCAGTCCTACCTATGATATCATTTACAAAGATTATACCTTTTTTTTTTTTTTTCTTCAAAAAAAAAAGTTTTTAATCAATTACTATATTTGAGTTTAACCACAATATTTGTTGCATTATTTGTTCTGTCGTTTCTGGAGGATTAAATTGAAATTGCAACCAACTTTCTATGGCTTGTTTCAGAAATAGTGATATTTGGGAGATGATTTCCTTTTCAAATAACTGCAAATGAGTTGTTGTAATCTGAATAAAGGGAAAAAGGCCTTTCTTGAACATTGGGTGAGACAATCTTACTAATTTGCTTGAGAACCAGTTCGGATTTAAGTATAACTTTTGTATGACTGAAGCTTTTAGTGATAGGTCTAGTGCTTTAATATTTAATAATTTCTGTCCTCCGAATTCATATTCATTATATAAATATGCCCGTTTAATTTTGTCTGGCTTGCCGTTCCAAATAAAATATAATATTTTTTTCTCATATAATTTAAAAACTGTTCGCTAGGCGTAGGCAAGACCATAACCAAATAGGTAAACTGGGATAATACTAAAGAGTTAATCAGGGTGACTTTTCCACAAATTGACAGGTATTTACCTTTCCATGATAGCAAGATCTTATCTATTTTTGCTAACTTTCTGTTAATATTTATTGGAGTGAGATCATTTATTTCATTTGGGATATGTATTCCGAGTATATCCACATCATCATCAGACCATTTTATTAGTAAACTACATGGTAATGTAAAAATTTTATTTTTTTGTGATCCAATTCGTAATATAGTACATTTATCATAATTTGGTTGTAATCCAGAGAGGTTAGAAAATGTATCTAGACCCTCTATGAGGCTGTGGAGGGATACAAGTTGTAGATTTAAAAGAAAACATGAATCATCAGCGTACAATGACACCTTTATTTTTAAGCCCTGGATTTCTAATCCCTTGATATTATTGTTGGATCTGATTTTAATAGCTAACATTTCGATGGCCATAATAAATATGCCGATAGTGGACAACCTTGTTTCACTCCTCTTGACAGTTTAAAACTTTCGGAGAAATAGCCATTATTTACTATTTTACACCTAGGGTTCCTATACATGATTTTAACCCATTTTATAAGAGATTTTCCAAAATTGAAATGCTCCAGGCATTTATATATAAACCCCAGTCGTACTTTACCAAATGCCTTTTCAAAGTCTGCTATGAATAGCAGGCCTGGTTTACCAGATTTTTCATAGTGTTCTATTGTTTCCAGTAATTGCCTTTTATTATCTCCAATGTATCGTCCATGTAAAAAACAAGTCTGATTAGAATGAATAATGTCCGACAATACCTTTTTAATTCTATGCCCTATACATTTTGCTAGAATTTTTGCATCACAAACACTGAAGTGTAAGGTGCCTCCAATTTTTTAAATGTACTGGATCTTTATATTTTCCACTTGTATTCTGTTTCAGTAATAATGAAATCAGACCTTCTTCTTGACTGTCTGGTAATCTATCATTTACATAGGAGTGGTTAAAACATGCTAATAACGGTCCTCTGAGTATATCAAAAAGGTTTGGTATACCTCGACTGGTATGCCATCGAACCCTGGTGTTTTCCCTAATTCAAAGTCTTTAATTGCATCCAGAAGTTCCTCCTCTGTAATTTCACCTTCACATTAGTCTTTCTGTATGGCTATTAATTTTACATTATCAATAGAAAAAAATCTCTACAATTAGCTTCAGTTAGAGGAGATGGAGGCGACTGAAATGAAAACATATGCTTAAAGTACTTTGCTTCCTCCTTCAAATTATCATTTGGTGAATCATGGGTGACTCCGTCATTTGTAGTAAAAAAATTATTTGGTGCATTTTCCCCATATTCCATCCAGTTTGCTTTATTTTTTATAATATGTTACACTTGATATTTCTTGAATAAGTTTCTCAATTTGTTTTTGTTTTTCCTCTCATTTATTCTGAGCCTCTATGTTACAGTTTTTATTGCTATCTATCTGTTCTGTTAGACCTTCTACAGTGGGGAAAAAAAGTATTTAGTCAGCCACCAATTGTGCAAGTTCTCCCACTTAAAAAGATGAGAGAGGCCTGTAATTTTCATCATAGGTACACGTCAACTATGACAGACAAATTGAGGAAAAAAATCCAGAAAATCACATTGTAGGATTTTTAATGAATTTATTTGCAAATTATGGTGGAAAATAAGTATTTGGTCACCTACAAACAAGCAAGATTTCTGGCTCTCACAGACCTGTTACTTCTTCTTTAAGAGGCTCCTCTGTCCTCCACTCGTTACCTGTATTAATGGCACCTGTTTGAACTTGTTATCAGTATAAAAGACACCTGTCCACAACCTCAAACAGTCACACTCCAAACTCCACTATGGCCAAGACCAAAGAGCTGTCAAAGGACACCAGAAACAAAATTGTAGACCTGCACCAGGCTGGGAAGACTGAATCTGCAATAGGTAAGCAGCTTGGTTTGAAGAAATCAACTGTGGGAGCAATTATTAGGAAATGGAAGACATACAAGACCACTGATAATCTCCCTCGATCTGGGGCTCCATGCAAGATCTCACCCCGTGGGGTCAAAATGATCACAAGAACGGTGAGCAAAAATCCCAGAACCACATGGGGGGACCTAGTGAATGACCTGCAGAGAGCTGGGACCAAAGTAACAAAGCCTACCATCAGTAACACACTACGCCGCCAGGGACTCAAATCCTGCAGTGCCAGACGTGTCCCCCTGCTTAAGCCAGTACATGTCCAGGCCCGTCTGAAGTTTGCTAGAGTGCATTTGGATGATCCAGAAGAGGATTGGGAGAATGTCATATGGTCAGATGAAACCAAAATATAACTTTTTGGTAAAAACTCAACTTGTCGTGTTTGGAGGACAAAGAATGCTGAGTTGCATCCAAAGAACACCATACCTACTGTGAAGCATGGGGGTGGAAACATCATGCTTTGGGGCTGTTTTTCTGCAAAGGGACCAGGACGACTGATCTGTGTAAAGGAAAGAATGAATGGGGCCATGTATCATGAGATTTTGAGTGAAACCTCCTTCCATCAGCAAGGGCATTGAAGATGAAACGTGGCTGGGTCTTTCAGCATGACAATGATCCCAAACACACCGCCCGGGCAACGAAGGAGTGGCTTCGTAAGAAGCATTTCAAGGTCCTGGAGTGGCCTAGCCAGTCTCCAGATCTCAACCCCATAAAAAATCTTTGGAGGGAGTTGAAAGTCCGTGTTGCCCAGCGACAGCCCCAAAACATCACTGCTCTAGAGGAGATCTGCATGGAGGAATGGGCCAAAATACTAGCAACAGTGTGTGAAAACCTTGTGAAGACTTACAGAAAACGTTTGACCTGTGTCATTGCCAACAAAGGGTATATAACAAAGTATTGAGAAACTTTTGTTATGACCAAATACTTATTTTCCACCATAATTTGCAAATAAATTCATTAAAAATCCTACAATGTGATTTTCTTGATTTCTTTTTCTCATTTTGTCTGTCATAGTTGACGTGTACCTATGATGAAAATTACAGGCCTCTCTCATCTTTTTAAGTGGGAGAACTTGCACAATTGGTGGCTGACTAAATACTTTTTTCCCCCACTGTATTTCCTTTGTTAGTATGGACTCTTTTGACTTAAATTGCTTTTGTTTTCGAGATTAGTATTGAATTGCATGGCCACTAAAGGCACATTTAAAAGTGTCCGATACAATAAGGGGATTTTGCTGTACCTATGTTATGTCAGAAGAAATCAGTTATGAATTCCTCTGTCCTAGTTAAAAACAAGTTATCATCCAATAGGCTTAGTTTAATTTCTAATATCCTCGCCCATGTGGAAATTCAGTAATAGTAATGTATATGCCAATTATATGATGGTCCGACCGCATTCTGTCCCCTATCAACACTTTTTAAACTTTTGGTGCCAACGAGAATTACATAAGAAAGAAGTTAAGTCTCTGGATAAGAGCGTCTGCTAAATGATGATGCAAATGTAAGACGACTGGCTTGATTGAGTCTCCGCCATGTATATCTCACTAGATCAGGATATTTAAGCCTCCATATATCTACTAGTTCTAATGTATCCATGACATTCACGATTTCCTTAAGAGCATGAGGGTGATAGTTTGTAGTGTGATTTCCTTTACGGTCCATTGAGCTATTTAAAACAGTATTATAATCTCCCACCATAATATTAGAGTCTTGAATTGCTTGCAGGGTTGATAATTTATTATATATATTGTCAAAGAAGTGTGGATCACCATTATTTGGTCCATAAAGGTTAATGAGCCGTATCTGTTTATGGTCCAATAACATATTTCAAATAATCCATCTACTTTGCGGATCTGTTTGGACAATTTGCACATTCGGATCGAAATTACTGTTAATTAATATCATCACCCATTTTGAGTTTCTTTGCCCATTGGAGAAGTATATTTGCCCCCCCCCCCCCCCCCCCCCCCCATTCCTTTTTCCACGCAACTTAATCTAGAATTGTTGAATGAGTTTCCTGTAAACAATAGATATTATATTCCTTCTCTTTGAGCCAAGTAAATATTGTTCTTCTTTTGTTATTATCTGCTAAGCCATTACAATTATAACTGGCTATACTTATTTCACCACATACCATAATGAGATACAAGTTTCAAATCTATTTATCATTATATATGTTTGTAAATTTACCAATAATAATACCATAGTGATTGAGTGTCCATATAGCTGTACCATGATATTTGCATTGCTACTAAGTAACCCTCCAATTGTTCTCCACGATTCCCCCCCCCCGCTAAAGCCCCTCCCCATCCCAAATTGGGCCGTCATCCCAGTGATCGGCATACCACCCCCGTCCCCCCGGATCCCTAGGCCCCCGAGAGGCCAGGATCCATCCATCGAAAACAGCACACGGTGCCAGCCACAAAACAGAAGCTGGTCAACCCGCCAAAAGCATTTCAAATGCTCACCTCAATATATATATAGCTATTGGCATTCTCTCAACCAGCTTCATGAGGTAGTCACCTGGAATGCATTTCAATTAACAAGTGTGCCTTGTTTGAAGTTAATTTGTCGATTTTTTTTCCTTCCTAATGTGTTTGAGCCAATCAGTTGTGTTGTGACAAGGTAGGGGTGGTATACAGAAGATAGCCCTATTTGGTATAAGACCAAGTCCATATTATGGCAAGAACAGCTCAAATGAGGAAAGAGAAATGACAGTCCATCATTACTAAGACATGAAGGTCAGTCAATCCGGAAAATTTCAAGAACTTTGAAAGTTTCTTCAAGTGCAGTCGCGAAAACCATCAAGTGCTATGATGAATCTGGCTCTCATGAGGACCGCCACAGGAAAGAAAGACCCAGAGTTACCTCTGCTGCAGAGGATAAGTTCATTAGAGGTACCAGCCTCAGAAATTGCAGCCCAAATAAATGCTTCACAGAGTTCAAGTAACAGACACATCTCAACATCAACTGTTCAGAGGAGACTGCGTGAATCAGGCCTTCATGGTCGAATTGCTGCAAAGATACCCCTAATAAAACAAACCAATAAGAAGAAGAGACTTGCTTGGGCCAAGAAACATGAGCAATGGACATTAGACCAGTGGAAATCTGTCCTTTGGTCTGATGAGTCCAAATTGGAGATTCTTGGTTCCAACCGCTGTGTCTTTGTGAGATGCAGAGTAGGTGAACGGATTATCTCCGCTTGTGTGGTTCCCACCGTGAAGGAAGAGGAGGTGTGATGGTGTGGGGGTGCTTTGCTGGTGACACTGTCTGTGATTTATTTAGAATTCAAGGCACACTTAGCCAGCATGGCTACCACAGCATTCTGCAGCTATACGCCGTCCCATCTGGTTTGCACTTGTTTTTCTTGAGGACAATGACCCAACACACCTCCAGGCTGTGTAAGGGCTATTTATGACCTGGCCTCCACAATCACCTGACCTCAACCCAATTGAGATGGTTTGGGATGTGTTGGACCGCAGAGTGAAGGAAAATAATCCAACAAGTGCTCAGCATATGTGGGAACTCCTTCAAGACTGTTGAGCATTCCAGGTGAAGCTGGTTGAGAGAATGCCAAGAGTGTGCAAAGCTGTCGTCAAGGCAAAGGGTGGCTACTTTGAAGAATCTCAAATATAAAATGTATTTTGATTTGTTTAACACTTCATAGTTTTGATGTCTTTACTATTACTCTAATATGTAGAAAATAGTAAAAAAATTAAGAAAAACCCTTCAATGAGTAGGTGTGTCCAAACATTCGACTGGTACTGTATATATAATATGCTTATATGATAATTATTACCCCACTACAAGTGTGCCCTGCAGGTTCTCTACAGCCCTGGTTTCCAAGGGCTCAGTGTGAGATAGGCAGCGTTGGGGAAGCATTGATTCTGGCTGATCCCTAACACCCTGTTAATGAAGGTGTTAGTGGACATAGCAGGTTGACACGGGGTGAGCCAATGGATAGTGAATGCATGTGCTCATCGAGCCATAGTTTTAAGATATCAGGGTGAGAGGGAAGGAGACCTGATTGGGATGTTTGGAATGTGTCACGTTCGTTCATGAACGGGTCAGACCAAGGCGCAGCGTGATATGCATACATGTTTATTTGACTTAGAAACACAATGACAAAACAAGAAACGAAACGTGAAGTCCAAGGTACACAAACAACATACCTCACACGGAACAAGATCCCACAACCCACTAGTGCCAATCGGCTGCCTAAGTATGGTCCCCAATCAGAGACAACGAGCGACAGCTGCCTCTGATTGGGAACCACACCGGCCAACAGGGCGGCAGGTAGCTTAGTGGTTAAGAGCGTTGTGCCAGTAATCTAAAGGTCGCTGGTTCTAATCCCCGAGCCGACTAGGTGAAAAATCTGTCGATGTGCCCTTGAGCAAGGCACTTAACCCTAATTGCTCCTGTAAGTCGCTCTGGATAAGAGCGTCTGCTAAATGACCAATTAATTTTTAATTAATTTAACATATAAATACCCATACTAGAACCTATAACATAGAACAACACAACATAGAATATACACACCCTGACTCAACAAATAGGAGTCCCCAGAATCAGGGCGTGACAGTACCCCCCCCCCCCCCCCCCCCCCCCCCAAAGGTGCGGACTCCGACCGCACAACCTTTACTTAACAGGGTAGGGGCCGGGTGGGCATTCCGCCTCGGAGGTGGATCCGGCTCCGGGCGTAACAACCACCTATTCTCCGCCTCCCTGTTGCGCCCCTGGTCTGGTCTGGACCTCGGCGCGCTGCTTCCCCTCTCCTTCCTCCCACTATACTCCAAGCCCTGTCTGGACCCTGGTGTGGGAGACCCTGAACCTGGAGAGGGGCTGACGTCTGGGTCTGGACTGGAGCCGCTGACCGGAGAAGGACCGGGCACCGGTGGAGCGGACTCATCAGGCTCCGGACTGGAGCCGCTGACCGGAGCTGGACTGGGCACCGGTGGAGTGGACTGCTCTGGCTCCGGAGTGGAGCCGCTGACCGGATCTGGACTGGACCCCGGTGGAGCGGACTGCTCTGGCTCCGGAGTGGAGCTGCTGACTGGAGCCGGACCAGGCACCGGTGGAACGGGCACGGGCCGTGCCGGACTGGACACACTCACCACTGGTCTGGTGCGAGGAGCAGGCACGGGCCGACCCGGACTAGGAACATGCACCACTGGCTTGATGCGAGGAGCAGGAACAGGCCGGGTCGGACTGGCGACACGCAATACTGTCATGGTGCGAGAAGCAGGAACAGGCCGGGCCGGGCTGGCGACGCGCACCACTGGCTTGGTGCGAGGGGCAGGAACAGGCCGGGCCGGGCTGGCGAAGCGCACCACTGGCTTGGTGCGAGGGACATGAACAGGCTGGACCGGGCTGGCGACGCGCACCACTGGCTTGGTGCGAGGAGCAGAAACGGGCCGGGCCGGGCTGGCGACGCGCACCACTGGCTTGGTGCGAGGAGCAGAAACGGGCCGGGCCGGGCTGGCGACGCGCACCACTGGCTTGGTGCGAGGAGCAGGAACAGGCCGGGCCGGGCCGGGCTGGCGACGCGCACCACTGGCATGGTGCGAGGGGCAGGAACAGGCCGGGCCGGGCTGGCGACGCGCACCACTGGCTTGGTGCGAGGGGCAGGAACAGGCCGGACCAGGCTGGCGAAGCGCACCACTGGCTTGGTGCGAGGGAAGGGACAGGCCGGGCCGGGCTGGCGACGTGCACCACTGGCTTGGTGCGAGGAGCAGGAACAGGCCGGACCGGAGGAACAGGCCGGGCCGGGCTGGCGACGCGCACCACTGGCTTGGTGCGAGGAGCAGGAACGGGCCGGGCCGGGCTGGCGACGCGCACCGCTATCTTGGTGCGAGGAGCAGGAACGGGCCGGACCGGACTGCGAAGGCGGACTGGAGGTCTGGAGCGGAGAGCTGGCACAACCCATCCTGGCTGGCTACCCACTTTCGCACTACACGTGCGGGGCACTGGCACAGGACGCACTGGGCTGTGCACGCGTACTGGCGATACAGCTCGTAGAACCGGCGCAGGATATGCGGGACCGAGGAGGAGTACTGGAGACCAGGAGCGTTGAGCCGGCACACCCCGTCCTAGCTGGATGCCCATCTTCGCACGGCACGTGCGTGGTGCTAGCACAGGACGTACAGGACTGTGCCGGCACACTTGCGACATAGTACGTAGCTCCGCATAACACGGAGCCTGCCCAGTCACACGCCTCCTCGCGTGAGTACGGGGAGTTGGCTCTGCTCTAACGCTAGGCTCCGCCAACCACCCTTTTAGCCCCCCCAATTTTTTTTATTGGGGCTGTCTCTCGGGCTTCCTCCTCGACCGGCGTCCTCTGTGTTGCCGTTGCTCCTCTCCTGCCTGGGCATCTACCTTCGCCCATGGCCCTTTCCCCGCGAATATCTCTTCCCATGACCACAATTTGCCCACCTGTGAAATGGCTATTCACTCCTCCTGGGCACGCTGCTTGGTCCTCGTTTGGTGGGATCTTCTGTCACGTTCGTTCATGAACGGGTCAGACCAAGGCGCAGCGTGATATGCATACATGTTTATTTGACTTAGAAACACAATGACAAAACAAGAAACGAAACGTGAAGTCCAAGGTACACAAACAACATACCTCACACGGAACAAGATCCCACAACCCACTAGTGCCAATCGGCTGCCTAAGTATGGTCCCCAATCAGAGACAACGAGCGACAGCTGCCTCTGATTGGGAACCACACCGGCCAACATATAAATACCCATACTAGAACCTATAACATAGAACAACACAACATAGAATATACACACCCTGACTCAACAAATAGGAGTCCCCAGAGTCAGGGCGTGACAGAATGGTTTAGGTAATCCTCTATAAAACACGGAAATGTGTAGGCCTGTTTTACCTTGCCTGTTTTTATGTGTGTGAAAACATATTGTCCAACATATTGGATAAGTCAGTGTACCAGAACCCCTATTTTGCCATTTAATTCTCTCAGAAGGGACCCATCTATTCTAAGCCATGTTTCCCTTACACCACCCTTGCCCTCCTGCTGTTTCCTCAGAGTGGAACAGGAAACAGCTTTCTCATTGGGCTGTTTCTCCATGAACCAGAGCGCATACAAGTAAATCAATACCCATAATGGCCTTCTTCTAACAGCTCAACTTTGTAATGGCAATGGCATCTACATCCTGCGTTGTGGTGGTAGTATTCATAGCCACACATCCCAACGTTATGGGAGTCATGTTACACTGGAGTTGTATTGGGTAGTGAGGGAGAGATGGAGATGGTAGGATGCCCAATGTGCAGGGTTAGAGGGGTTACTCCTATAAATATTCCCCCCAGTCCCCCTTCCTTCATTGATGGAAGGAGGGAGAGAGTGACAGTTTAACCACCCTGGCTCTATGTTTATGGCCCGGTTTCCATGACAACATCCTCAGACTGCAACCGACCAACCGTGGAGGTGGTAGACTAGAGGAGGGAGTGCCTAAGAGCAAAGAGAGGTTTAACGACCCAACGACCAGCCGCTCCATCCAACACCACTGTATAGCCACTCTATAGCCATCACTCAGTTTTCACTCTGTTTTCCTCTATATAGCTGTCAGCCAGGATCCCTTCGAGAATTCCTATGGTTGCATTTCATGAAAGAACAAAACAATATATATATATATATATATAAAAACAACACAACAAAAACATAATTGAATTGCGCAAACAGCATTTCACCGCATTACTCTTCTTAGGAAAAGGTAATTTACTGTGTCAAATGGGTGTAAATCTGTTATGGGTGAGGGTTTGACCCATATCTGCCTGACATTTTTTTCATTGCGTTAGTTGAAAGGTCAGCCTAAACCCCAGTGTAGCTAAATGTTTACAGAGGAGTGGCTGATTGCCTCGTTGTAATCAAAAAGGGGTTGTTTTATTTAATTCCATTTTTTATGGAACGATTTGGCATTTGAAGAAAATACATTTCTGATTTGCTAGTCTATTTATTTTGGTGTTGTGAATGTGTCTCCTTGTGTGTGCGCACGTACGTCCTAGCGTGTGTCCATCCATGCATATGTGTGCAGTGTGTGTGTGTTTGCTTAGGCTGAGAGACATTTAAGTGTGCTTGAGACTGAGTCAAGTTGAGTGGAAGTGATTGGCTCTAGAGTCCCAGGACCCCTTCAGTAATCTGTTTCAATTTCATGTGTGTGGGTGAAAACATACACACCAGCCGCACCATTCCCATCATTCGCTCCACTACCACGCTACAGATTGTTTAGAGAGGCCCGCTAGCTGTCGTTCTACTAAGTGCCATGATAATTCAGCTTTGGCTGCGTCGGGTTAATAAGTACTGCTGTGATGATGTAGCTTGCGAAACACCATTTTCATAAACGCTGTGATCATTTGCATTTTCTAAGCGATTTTAATCGCTTTGGTTGTACTTTTTGCTTCTCTGTTACTGTCTATTGAATTCTGCTGGTCTGGATAGTTTTTTTTGTTTTTCTTTGTTTTATAGTAGGGTCAAATTACTCTGATGGTACTGTAGTAAAATAGATATCTTGCTAATATGGGATGTTTTTACAGTGAACAGGAACAATTTTGAAATAGAAATAGACAAAAAAGTACTTGTAGCCTACTTTCACAATTTTTTCCCGGTAAACTTTTAAGATTGTTTTATTGAACCTGTCACGACAGTATTGTTGGTGACATGCAGTGTTAATTAAAGACCACCAGCTGTTTGGAACTCTGACAAGATGTTATTGTGCCGACTACGCCATGCATAGCAACAGACGGCCAGATGTTCCAGGGAACTAACTTTAATGAGTCCACATTGTGTTCTTACAACATGGCAGCTACAGAAGAAAGCATTTGTTAGCAGCACACTTCTGGTGTAGTGTCTGTTGCGTCTGTCTAACATCTAGTGAAGCAGAGTGCAAAGAATGTGGTTTTAGTAAAGGCATTGCTGAGAGAGTGTGGGCCATTGGTGTTCCCTGAGGGAAAACTCCTTAAGGCCTTAGTTATAATGACAGTTGTAAGCTCAATACATAGAGTAAAGTGGTCCACAATTTATAAGCAGAGACCTTCCTTCCACATTCCTGAACGACTATTAAAACCTTTGACCGGAAACACGTTTTAATCTTTTTTCAATTTGTTCAACACGTTTAATGGAACATAAATAAGGCTGGCGATGCAGACAGGGCTACATTAACCTTGACCTGCAGATTGTTGGAGAGGCGTGTGACTCACGCAGCCATTACTCCACTCACTCCGTTTCTCCCAGCCTCCCACTTCCCATCATGCAATACTCACTGTGCCATAGATAGACCTCCAGGAGAATCACACAATAGGCTAAAGTGGCTTCCTCTCCTATCCTTTCCTTCATCATCTGCACTGATCTGAAAACATAGTAAATGTGAAAACAATAATGATGCAAGCTTTGAGGAGGCGAGGAGAGGATGGAATTTTAGACAATTGATGAAGGAGCCCAGGTATTTCAACATTAGAGCAAAGGGAAGGAGACAAGGACAGGAAACCAGACCATTAGACTATTGAGATACACGCTATATGTAGTTCAACATTGGTGCAAACAAAGGAAAGGAGACAAGGTCAGGAAACCAGACTATTGAGATCCACACTGCTACATCTCTACCTCTGATGGATGATCTGCAGTGAAGCACTTCCCCTATGAGGGGTTCTTTGAGGAAGTTTGGAGGGGAATACTTGAGGAGAGGGTTGCTGCTGCTGCTGCGTCTTCGCCTCACAGGATATTCATCTAAGGGCTGTTCTGTTTTACGCTCAGGAGACTCCCTGACGGCCCCTAATAAACACTTTGAGTGGATGAAATATTCATGCAGAGTTAAATATGGATCCTGGAGCAGGCAGTCACAAGGCATTAGACACAGTCAATACAGATCACCACTTCCCTCTCCCTCTCTCCATATTTTTCTCTCCGGATTGCTGTGGTCTCAGGCAGAGAGTTGGGGTGGTGAAGGGGGGTGAATCAGCCAGGTAGAATAGCACGGGAGACAGCAGAGGAGATAGACAGGGGGAGAGGGGGGAGAGGGGGGAGAGGAAGAGGGGAGAGAGAGATTGAGTGGGGGGAGAGGAAGAGATAGACTGAGAGAGAAAGAGGAAGAGAGAGAGTGATGGAGAGAGAGATGGAGAGTGAGCGGGGGGAGAGAGAGATGGAAAGTGTGTGAGAGAGAGGGCGAGGGCGAGAAAGCGGTACTCTGACATGTTGTTTATGATGAGCAAATGCAGCAGTCGGAGGTGTCAGGGTGGTTTTATCAATGTTAACTAACTAACCGTAAAACACTGAGCGCTGCTCCTGCAGTGGAAAGCTCACGTAACACTAAGCACCCCAGCCAGATTGGACCACATTCAAACATCACACACGTATGCACACACACACACCCACACACACACACACATTCACATACCGCACGTTTCCAATATTTGACAGATTTATAGATTGGGATTGAAACAAACGATCATAACTCTTTAACTGATTTAAGAACAACCGCTTTTCACAAGCTCCTCCATCTGCTTAACATTCACTGTGATCCCCATGGACCTTTGGGGCCACCAACAAAGCAGCTATTTAAACTAACTTTGATGCTCAGTTTAGCTTGTTGTCAAAGGCCTATGGTCAGGTAATTAACATTTTGAAACAAGCTGATGTGCAATGAAGTCTAACTTAGTGTTTCTGTTAAAATTGAGAAGACCAGCTGGTCTTATTCATAGGCTGCATCTGAAATGGCACCGTATTCATTTTGTAGTGCACTACTTTGGACCAGGGCATGCACTATAGGTGCACTAGGAATAGGTAGCCATTTCAGTCACAGCCATAGTCTGTAGCCATAGCTACACTGCTTCCTGTCTCTGCCTCATCGTATGTGTATTCTGCAGTGCATGAATGAAGTTAATAGTGACCCACAGTGGGCGAGGTCCTCAGCCCTCCACTGTGTCTACTGTGTCCACTTTGTCACGGACAATGACGCATCATCAGCGTGCGACTGGGCACCACCGCGGGGCATCATCATCAGTGTGCGACAGAGTGTTGTAGTGATTTAATGAAGGCTTGGGAACTGGCTGCTGCGCAACACTCAACAGCAGGCTGTGAGCTGAGCTGGGCTGGTGTCCCATGGTGCCGTGCGCTCAAGTAGAAACAGGAAGTAAACAAATAATGCCATGGGCCAACCAGCTGGGGACTGACTGTATGGCTGCAGGTTGCAGAAAATAACAACTACATGGTTGTGACTGTGACTGTTACTGTGGCAGGTCTATGTAGTACTGAACCAGGGAACAGACTATTGAATGCACTTACAGAAGGACTGGAACTGAATTCTTCAGCCATAGTGGCTCTCTGTCCTATATCTCTATGTAGGAATTGAAATGTTAGCTCAATGACATGCTAGCTGTTCCCATAGACTTCCAGTCATTGAGCCAACGACTATCCATTTAAAAGCATGTATCGGCAGAAATATATATATCATGTAAATCATTGTTTTTGCAGCGGTGGAAAGAATTTAGCAGCGGTGCTAAATGAACATAGGGGAAGCACTGTAGACAGATCGATAATGAGTGTGAATTCAATGTATCAGTGATGAATGATGAAAGTCAGGTGGAGTATTGATAGATGTCTTTTTGGTTTCCTTTTCAAAGGGGAATGCATACTGTTGTGATCCGTTTTCTTCTGGCATCAAGGTCTGTGGTACTGGCTCTGGTAAGATACAGTGTGGCGCCAGAAAAAAACAGAGCTTTGAGAGAAAAATAGATGGTGGTGGTAGAACAGGAGGGATACAGACAAATATGAAGAAATAAGGAAGTGGAATGAAATGTGCGATAGTGCAAAGAAGGGAGAGAAAGAAAGAGGGAGAGGAGGAGGATGGAAGAGACAATTTGACAGAGGGATGGATTTCATTAAAATTGGAATGACATTAGACATCTATTCATGGAGCTTCCTTATCTACTACTAATTAAAACGAAGGTAGTCAAATGAATACAGAGTATAACTTCAATTACCATAGATACATGTATGTATTTTTGTACAGAGTTTAAGTTCAATGTTCTGATTCAATGGTGAAATAACAAATAACACTGTCATAAATTTCATTAATGTAAGGAAAGAAAGGTAGTGTTTTATGTCACACGATCTGTGAATACAGAGTATAACTTCAATTACCATAGATACATATTTGTAGTTTCTCTTTGGAAAATGGGGACCCTGCACGGTTTGTAACAGCAACGGAACTAACTCTCTCTCACACACAAACACGCACACACACACACACACACACACACACACACACACACACACACACACACACACACACACACACACACACACACACACACACACACACACTTACTCCTTTTTTTGTCTCTTTGTGTTTCCTCTCAAGGTCTTATTCGGTTACAGGAGCTCATAAAGGCTCCGTCTCGCTACAACATCCGCTTGAAGATCCGCCAGTTGCCAGCAGACACCAAGGACGCCAAGCCTCTCCTCAAGGAGATGAAGAGAGGGAAGGAGTTCCACGTCATCTTCGACTGTGGCCATGAAATGGTTGCCGGGATCCTAAAACAGGTGTGTGTGAGGAGGGGAAATTATGTGTGTCTGTGTTTGTGGGTGCATGATTGAGAAGTCCCAATCCCCAGTCAATTCAGACAAGTTTTGTCAAACTGGGTGCAAAAGTTATTTTCTGTACATTTCCTTGAAAGAAGGAATGTCCTTTAAGGTCCTTTTAGTCATGCAGGATATCAGCTACACTTGAAACAGAAAGAGTATGTTTTATACTGACTCATTTAAAAACATTCATATTCCTCCTCCTGCTTCCAGGATGTATCAAATACTAAAGATAACATGATTCAACCTAGTAATCACTCTTTCTCCCTCACTCTCTCCCACTTGGCTTTTTTAATAAATGTGGTAGCTGGTGATTGGTTATGAAGGTCAAGGACACCTATCATTAGCTAGTGTCTTGTGAGCTTCTCCCTGGTAATGGGGGGTAATTAAGGACTTTTCTCTCATTACAAGACATCCGCCTTGACTCAGTGAGGGAAGGATTCCTCTCCTCATTTCACTCTGAGATGACAGTCCTGATATCCTTTAGAGCTGCAGTTCCATCTCCTACTGTACAAGAAACAACTGGTGGTAGTTTATCATTCATAGTGCCATTGTGGGTCTGCATGCTAAATATCCAGCTTCAAATACTTCATAAGTTAACCTCTATAGGCCTACCTCTACAGTTGATATGCAGTTGGACCAAATGCTCATGATATGCAGGTGCTAAAATATCATTTTGCTTCTGATCCCTAAACGACAAGATTAAAATTACTGCAGATATCCCCAATCCCTCTGTGGTGTCCATGGATATAGTGCAGTGTATAATAGGGTTGAAGATATCTGATTGGCTAAGAAACACAGAACTCCATCAGGTCCTTTCAATAAAGAGGAACATTTGAATGTTGTCATCTTATTGGAAAAGGAAATACAATCATTTACATTCTGCACCGTTATTGGCTATGTAACCTC